CTGAGTTCAATTCCAGGCAGGTCAGGGCGAAACCTTGGGCAAGTTTCCTTACTCCACACGCCTAATAATAATCCCTCCAAAAAAACAAAACAATAATAAATTGGTCATTTTCAATCTACGACTGTTTGTAGGACATTGCTGTGCGCAATTGGCTGCCGCGTTCGCCCACAAATATACAGTCAATTCACTTTACAGTGTGTCCTGTGAAGCGCTTTGGGACGTCCTCCCGACGTGAAAAGCGTTATATCAAGTGCAAGGATTATTATTATTATTATTAACCAGGATGCGTCCCCCCAGGGAGAGAGTGAGAGCGTGTGCATTCCATTCTAATAAACATCTCTGGAATTTTCTCTCTTCTGACTTTAAATATTTCCAAGTTATACACTGTGATTATGCCATACAGATTTCAGTATTTGGGTTCAGCTTATCTGCACATCTTAAAAATCTCATTGTGATTTCTCTTGAGCTTTCTTTTCTCCATTGAAACATGAGGCTGGTCTTTTCTAGGAAAGCAAATATAGGTATTCCAATATTTCCTGACTTATTGTGTGGCACCAGGAATTAAATCGTATCAAAAATAACTTCTATGAATTTTCAGGCATAGCAACTTCATAAGCTAATGAAATAAAATACAAATGAACTGCAGGCTAGAGATGGTGATTGATAAGTGACAATGTATACATAGATAGCAGAGGAATAACTCAGATGTCCCAGTTTCCTGTTAGTGGTAAGGCCTACGTTAGTGACTCACGTGAAAACATCAGAGGTTTGAGCCCTTATATATGAGAAGCTGTGTTTTGGTTTCAGTGTGAAGAAAACGAGTGGTTATTTGTCCAGTAAATAACGTTCATTGCATTCGACACATTTGATACAAAGATACATTCTCGTTGACCATGGTTATCACTTGTGGTTTAGTCAATTACTTGTGGAATATTACTTACACAACTAACCCGTGGAACATTTGATTCACAGAACAAAGTCAGCCAACACATGCCCAACCCTGCAATCTGTTTTAACCCTATTAGCCTGCCTATATCCTCTATTCATTCACTTCAGTCCACTTATTCCACATCCCAGCCATCCCACCACTGATCACTGAGCTTTCAGCTAACTGGTCCTTATGGAATTTATGAAACTCTCATTGAAAATTCCTTCACCTTGCCTTTTCTCCCTGTCATAAAGGCATTCCTTGTGGGAATAAGTAATTGCCACACATTTGCTAATGTTTCCAGCTTAGCAAGTTCCTTGCACCGTATAGACCTGTCCGCTCCCTCCATGCAGCAGACTCCGGCTTTCACCATCCCCCGCCAAGCCCGCACCACCATCAGCGGTTCAGCCTCTCTGCCCCCATCCCTTGGAACTCCATCCCACAGTCCCTTCGCCTCGCCCCCTCCATTGCCTCTTTCAAGGTCCATCTCAAGATACTCCTCTTTGACTGCGTCTTCGATCAAGTCATCTCCTACCCCTACCCTTCCTGCCCTCCATGCTTCCTAATACCAACCCCCTGCTCAGCTCCAAATCCCTGACTATCCAGCATATTGGGACGTCACCCCGATGTGCAAGGCACTATACAAATGTAATTTGTTGTTATCTGCACTCTGACATGCTACCTGATGTGAAGGGCATATAAATACTGGAATGCATTGCCTGAAATGGTGATGGAAGTCGATTCGATAACAACGTTTAAGAGAGAAGTAGATAATTATTTGGGGAGGACAAGTTTGCAGAGCTATGGGGAGAGAGCGGGGGAGTGGAAGTCAATTGGATAGCTTTTTTCAAAGAGCCAACACAGTCACAATGGGCTGAATGGCCTCCTTCTGTGCTATATGATTCCATGATTCTATGAAATGCAAGTTGTTGTTGCACTCATCTCACTACTCCTGCTGTTTTCCTTGTTTCTCACCAGCTTCTAAAGGGCAACTGGTTGCTTGCTAGTGAAGAAAGCCCAGGAACGACCATCTATAGGCAGTTTCCTGGTGCAGGGTTTGTAAGTTTGTATATTGAGTTTTAACATAAAAGATTTCCTCTGAGTTCTTAATTAGCACAACAGTAATAAATCTGCATTGTATTTCTTAAAATGTTTCTTGTGTTAATTGATACAAGGATTGCCTTGAGGAATACCAAATATTTTGGCTCTCTCTCCTGCAAATTAGACCCAAGTAGTTAACCTAATCTCCTGATTGCTTAAAACCTATTCACCAAAGTACCGTTGGCTGGTGAGACAAGGACATGGTTGCCACTGACTCATATCCTGAACAGAACAATCAAGTGCTAGTTGGCTGCATAACAGCAACTACAAATTATATTTAAATAGCGCCATTCACATCGGGAAGACGTGATAAAGCACTGGACAGTGAAGGATGTGCACCCGAGCTGGGAGTTGGGATCAGCAGGGGTGGAGGGCAGGGAGGGAGAGGGGTAGGAGGGTGACCGAAGGTGCGGTCAACGAAGAAGTCTTGAGACGGGCCTTGAAGAAGGCAAGGGAGGGATGGTTGGAATATCCAGAAAGAGTATACCTCAGATAGTAATTACAGTTTCTAGTCAACAGATCTGAGTTTAGATGAAACAGATTACATTGTTGCTGCAGAATCAAGTCTTACTGATTGACGGCCCAATGTCAGTAGATCGGTTTGAAGCTTGTTCTGCTGGCTCTGGTGTATCTGGAAGTATTGTTTTAGAGCTCATTTGCAGGGCTCATAGGCTCATTTATATATAAAGCACTAAAAGGTTAAGAAAGCATTTTTATTTATTTGGGGGCAAGTCTTTTTTTGTCACATATATTCCTATGTTCCTATCTAAGCTCATTAATGGTACCAAACGGGAATCAGCTCCAGACTGCATAAATCTCACGGAAACCAAGGACCAGTTCAGCACAATCAAAATCCGTTTGCAACATTAGGCTTCATCTCATATTTCTCCATCTATGAATGAGGCAAGTATTGAAGTTAGCAAGGGTGAGCATCCAAACCACTACGTTACAGGACTCCATATAAAACATTGCACGAAAAATAAATTTGAGAGAGGAGAATGTTACATGTTTTACAAAGTAGTAAAACACATTTCCATTCATAAAAAATATCATGCATCTTCTTAATTATTTTCTGACTAACTTCTTAAAACAGTGATTATTTCCCTCCCTTTCCCACTCACACATACACAGATATTCTGCTCTATGAAATCTTAACCCCCAAATTATCATATTTCCTTTTATTAATAGCTCTTGGTGATACTCTTTCCGAATGTATTTCATGTGGTACTGAATTCTCTCAATTTCAAAGCAACCCACAGTAGTCACACATCCTGTTAAGACTTTCTAGAATTTCATCACTACTCATTTGTGAAATCATTCGGTCTTTAAGTTATGGATTTTTGACAGTGAATATATTGCGGGAGGAGGTAGGAGTGCTATGAATGATGCAATAATAATCACCAATGATAATAATCACATGAATACCACATTCCCCCAACCCATAATGAATGAATGCTATCTTATAATAATATAATAATAATCCTTGCATTCAATGTAACACCTTATCACGTCTTTGAGACATCTCAAAAGGCTTCACAGAATATACTGCAAAATGAATTGACTGTATATTTTGTTGGTGAAATGCAGCAGCCAATTGCACACAACAGTGTCCCACAAACAGTCATGGATTGAGTGACCATTTTTTTTGAAGGAATTATTACCCCCAGAAAAGCGATCCGCCGATCAACTAACAACCAAGTTCCTACTTACTACTAGGAAATCAGAGGAGTGTGGATTAAGGAAACTTGACCAATGTTTCGCCTTGCTGAGAATTGAAACCAGGTCCCCCACTTGAGAGGCGAGTGCTATAACCACTGAACTACAGGACTCCACACATAACACTTACATAAAGATCATTAGCACCATCTGTGTTAATTATACATAACTCATCGCAATGTTCACTACACAGTGTGAACTGTACCCATGGTTATTGTCTTGTCTTTCTTTAATGTCTGTCCACCACCCGACACACTACGTTACGTGAAAGACACTATAAACGTATAAATTGTTGTTGCTCTTGATTCACCAAGAAGCTTGCGGGGAGTTTCTGGTACCTGCTATCCACCTTGTGAGAACTAAACTAGCGCTTGTCAGATTTCGAATGACCAAAAATCTCATCTTCAAAGAGAAGAAAATACTCTACACAGTCCAGTCTTTCTTTATATTTACATCCTTTCATCTCTGGTAACACACTAGTAAATCTATGCTGCAGTTTGTTCATTTCTACAATATTGTTCTTGTAGAAACCAGAATTGTCCTCAGTAATAATAATAATAATAATAATAATAATCCAGGCATTTGATAGTACGCTTTATCATACGATTGAGATGACAAAAGCGCTTCACAGAATATACTGTGAAGTGAATTGACTGTACTATGTTGGCGAATTGCAACAATCAATTGCACACAGCACTCTTCCACAAACGTCGTGCTTTGAGTAACTAAATATATTTTTTTAAGGGATCATTACTCCCGTAAAGCGATCCGCCAATCGGGTCCTTACTTTCTGGTAGATAAACAATAAGTATTATTGTTGGGGCATCGAAAACTACATAGATTGCCATTTATATCACTGAATGGGGGAAAGAAATAGTCCCCCAAATGTAGACTTAATAACATTTTATATAAATTTAACATTACTGTCTTTTTTACTTTCGTGTTCTATTCCTCCAAACACAAAGCCAAGAACTCTAATTCTATTCGTTATCGCCTTCTCTATTTCCTATTCCAGTAAACTAATTAATAAGATAAATAAAATAATAAAATAAAGTAACATAGATACTCTGGATTGTCATACGGATTTGTCATCCTGAAAGATATCACGTGTTTTAGCACACTTGATGAGGCTTCCCGGAAACAGTGACGAAAGAGATTAATAAGAAATACTCGCTGAACATGTATAAGAACAAGAAAACCACATCCCTTTGAAGTATTATAAATACCAGTATGTACCAGTGTATCACACAGCAAGTTATGATGAAAATGTTGGTGCAGATTGTGTTTGCTTCTCTCATGGTTATCTCTTTTCTAACACCAGGCTGTAAGTATATATTCAACTTTAATTTTTTATTAGTTTTATTATTAACTATAATCAGAATTATATGGTATGGTTTATCTTTTCAGGATTACAATTCCTTGTTATCAGATGTTCAAAATGATCAATGTGCAAAGTTATAAAGTACTGATATCTATCCTTTTATATATTGATCATAGTCTATGATATCCTAAACATGAACCAATGCTGTTTACTTTCTAAATTCCTAGTAAATCTATCCTTTACAAATAATATTTGGCTTAGTTGGTAGCTTTCTTGCCTCTGGGTCAGAAGGTTGCCAGTTCATTTCCTGCCTCTGCGATTGTGAGTGGTCTCGGCTAACAGTCCAGTGCAATGTTAAGGGCAGTGCTATCCATCACATGAGATCCCATCTGCCTGTTCAGGTAAATGTTAAAGAACCTATTGCACTTTTTGAAAGGGAAGAGAGTTTCTCCTGGTGTCCTGGCCAACAATCCTCTCGTCAAATTGGTTATTCACCTCCTGGCTATGTGTGGGACATTGCTGTCACCACCTCATCTCTCTCAATTCCCATATCCCTCTCCCCACTGCCTCCAAACCTACCACCATCTTCTACTGCCCGTGGAAGAAGATCTCCCCACAATCCCTCTCCGCTGCCCTGGAGTCCTCTGAACTCCTCACTCTCTGGCCCACTTCTCGCAACAACCCACTCGCTTCACTCACTCTTCTCCACAGCACCCTCTCCACCACACTCAATGTCCTTGCACCCCTCACCTCCTGAACTGCCTTCTATTCCCGATCCACCTGGCCCCCAACCTCCACCCCCTCCCTACCCCCACCCCACACAATTACCCTTCCCTCCTGATTGGCTCACATCAGCGCCTCTGCACCTCAGGCGCTGGCAGCATCAGCCTCCACAGCTGCACACTCAACCTCACTAAGCCAGTCAGGAACCTGGGTATCTTGTTTGACCCTGAACTGTCCTTTTTTTCCCCCACATCCACACCATTTCCCTTAACCCTACACCACCCCTCCCCCATGCTGGGGCCCCGACACCTGACTGTTCAGTGCTTTGGGACTTCCTCCCGATGTGAAAGGCGCTCTATAAATGTAATTTTGTTGTTGTTGTTGCTGTGTGCAAAATAGTTGCCATGTACAAATGCAAATGCATAGTCACTACACTTAACAGTATCTGCTGTGAAGCACTTTAGTGAGAGACATTTTGATGTGATAAGACGTTATACTAAATGCAAATATTATTATAATTATTCATCATGAAATAAATTCTAAGTGGACATTTGGAGAGGACAGTCTAAGTTCCATCATGCCTCCCCTTCATGATCAAACGGCTTGCTAAAACAATTTTTGGGTCAACTGGCTGTCTGACACATGCGGAAACCCATCACCATGTTTAAGAATATCCAAACCAAATTGAAATTTCCATGCAGCTTACACATGGAGTTCCAGAGATTGATTGTTGGAATGGAACACGCACTCTTTCCCTGGAGGGACGCATCCTGCTTACTCAATTCCGGAAAGTATTAGGCGCAGGTTGGCGAGAGTCAAGACTTGGGGACCCCAGAGTGTGCGTTGTGGTAGTGCTTGCCATTGATATCAAGCTATGTGGTTTAAGACTCCAGCAGGACCCATCGCATAGTCTGGGTTCTCCAAGCCTTGGGTCTTGCTAACCTGCACATAATTTGCTAAATACAGAATTCACTACTAAGGCTCACAATTTAAGAACGGCTACAATAGTTGGAGGAGCTACTGGATGGCTCATGAAAACCAGTGCGCTAACTATTGCTTCAATACAGGATTGATCTCATTTAATCAAACCTAGATCATGGGAGCTTCCATACTCTGGTGCTAAATGTCCATAGTAGATGCAGCAGCCACTGGCTGAGTCATTGGGGAAGTATATTACCAATTTTGTTCCCACTAATGGTAAATGACAGCAAATATCTCCCTTATAGAAAACCATCAAGAAAAACATAAGCCATACTACCTTTCTGTTAAACCCGTTACTTTGGTTTTGTATAAGATCAATGTTATCACCCAAACTCACATCCTTGTCCAACTTTCCTGGCTATGTTGATATTGTGACAATTACAATACAACCTGAAACTGAATCTGAAAATGTAATTGATGCAAATTGAACACTGACCACTGTGAGCCTTGGTGCATTGAGTAGATTTTACTGGTATAATATGTTTTATAAAATTAAGACATTAAAACAATAAGATATATGAAATATAGGCATATAACTACCACTACTTTAGTCTGTGCATTATTCTACTGAAATACAGTGTGTAATAATAATAATCCTTGCACTTGATATAGCATTTTTCACGCCTTCTAGACGTCTCAAAACACTTCACAAAATATACTGTAAAGTGAATTGACTACATTTGTGGCTGAAACTGAGCAGCCAATTGCACACAGCAGTGTCTCACAAACAGTTGTGCATTGAAGTGATCAATTTATTACTGTTTTCTTTCTTGTGGGATTAATATCAGGCGTGTGGAATAAGGAAACTTGCCCAAGGTTTTGCCCTGCCGGGAATCGAACCTGGGTCTCTTGCTTGCAAGGCGAGTGCTTAACCACCGAGCTACAGGACTCCACAGTGTTAATTTCTTGCTTTCAAAAACCCTTAGAGCTTGTGAACCGACCTTTCAATAACTTCTACATTCATATTACAGATCACGGTGTGGAGATAATTGGTGGCAATGATGTTAAACCTCATTCAAGATGTTACATGGCATCCATTCAGATTTTCAACAATCGGAAAAAAGCTTATGCCCATCAATGTGGAGGAACTTTGATCGATCGCAACTGGGTCCTGACGGCAGCACACTGCAATCTGTAAGTTAGATTTATAAATAAAGCATTGGCTTGTTTGTCATTCTGCACACAGAGATCATCTCCTTAATAAACTAAAGTACAATATGTGTATTTTTCTTGTTTGTTTCCAACTTAGAGAATTTGGTAAGAATAAAATCCAGGTGGTTGTTGGAGCACATTCATTGAAAATAAATGAAACAACCAAACAAATACTTGCAGTTCAGGACAAATTCCCCTATCCGTGTTTCGACAAATCAACTGGAGAAAATGATATCATGCTACTAAAGGTATGAAATTATTTATTTTACTGTAATCAATTTGTAGCTTTTAACATTTTTTGAGTGGCAACAATACCCTTTCAAATTCCAAAAGATGTTAAAACAGGAAAACAATGTTTTTTCACGTTTCATTTCTGGAATTGCATATTACACACACCAATACCGAAGTGGGGAAGGGCAGCGCCAGATCAGATAACAAACACCGCTCCACTAAATGGACCGGGCAAGGATTCCTTGTGTTAAAGAAACTAGTATTTTATAACTATGGAGGAAAAGTTTGCGACATTCCTTGTGTTAATTAACTAGCGAAACGTATTATGCTGCTTTAACCTCATATGTTATTATCGTCTTCATTTCCAGTTTGTGTAATATAAACATAAATACACATTCGAGATGGCTTCCCACTTCAACTTTAAGCTGTACGCCAAGAAATATATGGTCCAATTGTATCTCCTGTCTCTTTTTGAACAGGCAGATGAAACCTTGGTTTAACATCTCCGACAATGCATCACTCCCCAGCACTGCATTGGAATGTCGGACCAAGTCTATCTCTGCCAGAAAGTGTGGTGATCCTATTTGTAATATTGATAGGGACAGCTATTAACTCAGTACAACTCGAAATTCATCGTAACTTTTTGGAACAAATAGTACATCTCAAGAAATGCATTTGAACAGAAAAAATACTAATTTGCTACCCTTTTATCACAGCTGGGACAGGGAGCAAAGCTGAACAAGTATGTAACTTTGCTCAAGCTTCCTAATGGTAAGGATGTGAAAAGTGGAACTTCCTGCACGGTGGCAGGATGGGGAATAACAAGTGCGCAGTCTAAAGACCCATCTGACACCCTTAAGGAAGTAAAGATAACTGTAATAGACCGCAGTGTGTGCAACCGAAAGGATTATTACAACCTGAAACCTGTAATAACAACAAACATGATCTGTGCTGGTGACAAGAAAGGGAAAAGCGATTCATGTGTGGTAAGTATACAATGTTGCATGGCTTTAGTAAGGTAAGAGGATAATAATAATATAATAATAATGATAATAATAATATGTAAGGATATGTAATGACTGCACTAACTTTCTGATTTGGACCACCTATCCTGCAATTCAGATAATTTTGTAGAACATATCATCTTTGTCCCAGTCCTGAATCACTTTGCACCAATATAATGGCACTGGACTCAAGTAGGCCCAATAGTTCATTCAACAACAACAACAATTTGCATTTATATAGCGCCCTTCACGTCAGACCGTGTCTCATAGCCTGAGAGGTGAAAACAAGTTTCTGGTATTGATGCTAAATGGGAGGGAAAGAATCTGAACCACAAACTACTTTAATTCTTCAATACCCTGCAATACCTCCTCCCATTCCTCCCCCACTTCTCCAGCATTGAATGGCCTGTTTCGTTGCTGAACATTCCCTGAAACTCTATGTAATTCACTACGGCTGTCCTTTCCTTGCGCAACTTGTGTTTTCAGACCTGTGGAGTGGGGAAGCCAATTGTGGAGGCATCTCCCACCCCCATCTGAGGAATGGTAAGGTTGGTGCAATTCTGGGTCAGGATCCTATGAATGGTCAGGTTACAGCTCAGCTAAACAGAAAGGGAAATAAAGTAAGCTAAAAGAGAGGAATCACAATATAAAAATACAGAATTTGGAAAAAATGAATAATGAAATACTGTATTGATTTGTCAAATCAGGTTTATCTTGGGCAAGGGATCATTACATTATTATTATATGTTAAAGGAAAACATGTAAATGTTAAAGACTAAGGTGCTTTTCTTTCCTTGTCACACATCGTGTCACACGTGATTTTAAACGTATAAAAAATTATGATTCTTATATTGTTTGAGTAAGCATAGTAAAAAAAAATCAGTCAGTTCTTCTTAAAAGAACGGTGGTATAGCAACAGCTTTAAGCAGCAGTGGATCATTAGCCTATCTAGCCTATTCACCAGCTTCCCAAAAGGTCCCTTTGATACAGAATCTATTGGGTGTACCATCACAGCAGAACAAGAAGGCATAGGTTTGGGGTTGCAAAGGACAATTACAGGACAGACACCGGGAAAGACTTATTTACCCAGAGGGCAATTAATAACTGAACAGATTACCAAGAAGGGTGGATGAGGCCACAATGCAAGACTTCTTTAAAAAAGTGCTCAACGCTGTGACAGGATGAATGTAGGGTGGATATTCTGAAATGTTGAGACTAAATGTTGAAACAAAGGGCCTTCTTCATACAAACCTCTTTGATGCATTTGTGAAATATTTATCTCATTCCAAATAACACATATTTCATTATATCTCATATCTCGATCTATATATAATGTGTCATCATCTGATAATTATTAATAATATCATCCAATAACCTTTTAATTTTCAAATCTTGTCTGGTTACATAACAAAACCCTCAAATGCATACATTGAGTATGAAGTAATCACATCTTGATTGATAATAAAAATGCAAATAATATTCACTTTGCAGAATATTAATAATAATAACTCTGTGTGAACAGTTTCAAACCTGCCGCAGTTCGAGGGTTGTTGAAGTAAGATGTTATTTATTCTCTCCTCCTCCCAGGGAGATTCCGGTGGACCTTTAATATGCAAGAAAAAGTTCAGCGGGATTGTGTCGTTCGGTTTTAAATGTGCAGATCCGAAAAAACCTGGCATTTACACTCGTATAACAGAGGACTACCTTAAGTGGATAAAGAAAACAGTTGCTGGTGTGGAAACCTACAATACAGAGCCTGAAATATTGTACTGAATGCTTGTCACAGGGCCACTGTCTCTGTCCTGAAATTGCTGACCAAGTAGCTTGGCTCAGACTGCACGCTTCCAACCATATCCCAAGTATACTGCTTAATCATTATAAAATGAAAATAAAAGCTTATAACTTTCTTTTAATATTCGTTTCACATTTAATTAAGGACATTCTCGGTCAGGAAGCCAATCACTGATCCGATTATCCTCCGGGGGGGGAAGGCAGAGTTAAGCAGTGTCATATTGTGTCTCAGCTAGCTTCAAGGTGACATGTTTGTCAACGGAATATCAAAATCAAGTCAATCATCTGTGATGGTCTCAGGAGTCTGTTTGTTAAGTCAGACAGGTCCCCAATACTCCAGAACACTGTTTATGACAGACCAACATGATGCCGATTTAGTTCTAGAAAGGCTGGGCTGAAGGAAGATAGCCAAAATTCTATAGACCTTGGGGAGTGGGGAATTATCCAGACCTAAACCTGTTGTTGTTAAGGACTGCACATACAATGACAGAATTTTCTGCCTTGTGTTAATTATTGATGATAATTACAGTATCTCATGACATACACATAACTCTGCCCCTCCCCACCCCTCTGTTATTCCTTTGGCTTCCTTTGGCCCCTCTTCACTATCTCCTATCAGAGAGAAGAAAACATGCCCCAAATCTTCCCTGGAACAATATCGTCCTCCATTGAGATTGTGAACATGCACTTGAACAGGCAGAACAGAACCTCCATTTAACATCTTATCTTCATTTGAATGTCAGCCTAAACTAAAGTTCAAAGTCCTGATGTGGGACTTGAACCCACAGAAACTGACTCGGAGACAAGAATATTACCAACTGAGCCAGGCTGAAGCCAGGTTTTAATCACTCAACTGATTCTTCCAGGTGGAACTCAGCTTTCCCAACTTTAAATCATTTCACTAGTAACAGTTGAGGTTGTGCTTAAGTCTGAATAGATTCTTTACTGATCTGAGGCCTGGAATTCCACCTAGTTTTAACCTATAAGAATACACAGAATTTTTAAAAATTCTTAAATCCAATTTTAATTTGGTGGCCTCCTTTTTTCAGTTCTTAAACAGATGAATTCAGGATTGTTGTCCTCACTTTCAAATGCCTCTATGGCCTCACCCCACCAGACCTCTGTGACCTCCTGTGATCCTACTTACCTAAACTCTCCCTCTGCCCAACAAACAAACAACAAACAAAAAAAAATTATATAGCCCCTTTCACATCAGAAGGATGTCTCAAGGCAATGTACAGTTAAGGGTTTGTGCCCAAGCTGAGGGTTAGAATCAAGAGGGATGGGAGTGTGGCTGAAACCACAGTCAAAGAGAAAAGTCTTAAGACAGGCCTGGAAGGAGGCAAGGAAGGGGTGGCGAGGCGAAGCGATTCCAGTCCAGAGGGTGGTGGCAGAAAACCTGAAGTCCTGACCGCCAATGGTGCGGAGGACAGAGCAACGGACATGGAGAAGGCCAGTGACAGCTGAGCAGGGGGAGTGGAGAGATTGGTATGGTGACCACAGATGTAGGGGGGAGCACGACCATGGAAGGCTTTAAAAGTGAGTCTGAGGATTCTAAATCGATCTTCTGTGGGATGGAGATCTAGTGGAGTGGGTCAAGAATGATCGGTTCATAGAGCTTGGTACGGGAGAGTACACAAGCTTCAAAGTTCTGAATATATTTGTTTTTAATAGTAATGTTTGTTCAGCAAACACTGACCTGCTTCATGTCATCTGCCTTACCATCAGTTGGCGAGCTGTTAGCCATTCTGCCCCCTCTCTAGACCATCATCCCAGAGTCCATTTGCTTTGATCCCACCCTCTCCGCCTTCAAATTCCACCTCTTTAGCTTTGCTTTTGGCCATATTTCCTCCACCACTTCTCAGCTCCTCCCTGCCCTATCTCAGGCTCCTTGTCAGTCGTATGAAGTGCTTTCAAATGTCCTCCCAACATGAAAGGCATACGTGAATGTGAATTGTTAATAAACTAAAGAAAATTTCACAAGTGTGTGCCATGTTAAATTTTAAATCATTATACTTTCGACATTAAAGTGAAAACTCAGTGGATCATCAATCCCTCAATTGAGCAAAGTGCTGGTGGGCTCAGTTATTTAACAATGGTCCACTGATGAGATCAAATGAGGACTTATTTAAAACAATACATAGACATTCAACTGTTGTGATCAAATGAATATTCTATCTGTAAACATACTGAATTGCAGGAAGTGTTCAGGGAGAGCCCTCCAGCCCTTTGATGTGTCTGATTAATGGCCCCTCTTGCTCTCAATCTTCTTTATCTGATATGCAGTGTGACTAAAAGCACAAGCCACAACTTACCTATAGTTGCTGCTTGTACAGAAGAGTTGCATGATTGCAAATTGACAGCTTCCTGTATATTTCTTAAAGCCAGTGAAGTTCCATATTTTGGTCAATTTCAGCTGTGACTGACATGAGAATATGTGGTTTTGTGAGGTGTAAAGATAAAAAATTGTCTGGGTTTTCACTGACTGCCACTGCAAAATTTACCTTGGTTTATTTCAGGAACATGACAAGAGAATTACAGATGTAACATTTCTCAATTGAGCCAAGATGACACCTTCATAAACCTTCTAACTAAAAGATGCCATTCAATGCCCAACAAGCAGCAATGAGATAAATGATTACCCTTAATGGGATTTGGAGAATTGGATGAGATAGGAATATTGGCTGGAACAATGAGTGAACTGCTTTTCTTCTAAATGGGCCCTGGCAGTCATAAGACCACCGTAACCAGCAGAACTAACAAACGAGATCTCGTTTAACATTTCAGCACAAGACGTCCAACAACACAGCATTAATAATAATAATAATAATAATAATAATAATAATAATAATCCTTACATTCGATATAGCGCTTTTCACGTCGGGAGGACGTCCCAAAGCGCTTCACAGAATACACTGTAAAGTGAATTGACTGTATATTTGTGGGCGAACGCGGCAGCCAATTGCGCACAGCAATGTCCCACAAACAGTCGTAGATTGAAAATGACCAATTTATTATTGTTTTTGGTTTTGGAGGGATTATTATTAGGCGTGTGGAGTAAGAAAACTTGCCCAAGGTTTCGCTCTGCCTGGGATTGAACTCAGGTCTCTCGCTTGCAAAGCGAGTGCTCTAACCACTGAGCTACAGGACTCCACACTGCATGGAGTGTAAGACTAGACCATGAACTCAAGCCTTGGTGTAATATTCACCCATAATTTAGAAAATCGATATCATTCTGTGGAATTTCTGAACACTTTGCGGGTTAAAAGAAGTTCACAATAATTTAATCTTTCAACCACATGAACACTAACCTAAATGTCAAAGCCTTACCATTATGACTGTATAACTGTCAAACTAACCTTAGCAACTACACAAGGCATGTCCTTGGTATAAAGCAGCAAGATTAAAAACCAAACATATGAATCATGTTTCATCTATTAGATGAGCCTCACAGTCATCATGAAAACATTTTCATTTTATTGCTTGATCCCTTAAGCAAATGATATGTGAGTATTGCACTGCTCCTAGGAAGGGAGATTGCAATTTAATATTTCAGGGAGAATATCATGTAGGAGGGAGACTTGAATAATAAGTCAAGAAAACAGTAACAAAACGAAAGGAATGTGCAATAATAATAATCCTTGCATTTGATATAGCGCGTTATCACATGTTTGAGACGTCTCAAAGCTCTTCATAGAATATACTGTAAAGTGAATTGACTCGCAAGCAAGAGACCTGGGTTTGATTCCCGGCAGGGTAAAAGGTTGGACAAGCTGCTTTACTCCACACGACTCTGTTTACATAGTAGTAAGTAGCAATTTGGTTGTTAGTCAATTGGTGGATCACTTTTCTGGGGATAATAATTCCTTAAAAAAATTAGTCACTCAATCCACGACTGTTTGTGGGACACTGCTGTGTGCAATTGGCTGCTGTGTTTCGCTCACAAAACATACAGTCAATTCACTTTACATTATATTCTGTGAAGTGCTTTGAGACGTCTAGAAGATGTGATAAGGCGCTATATCAAATGCAAGGATTATCATAATATGGTCACGGAGCCTGGTGCGGGAGAGCACACAGGCTGCAGAGTTCTGGATGATTTGCAGCCTACGGAGGGAGCCGCTGGGGAGGCCGACAAGCAGGGAGTTTGGGTAGTCAAGCCTGGATGTTATGAATGCATGAAAGAGGGTCTCGGCGGCCTGCGGTGAGACAGTGGCGGAGCCAGACGATGTTGCGGAGGTGGGGAAACGTGGAGCAGGTCATGGCACAGATGCAGGATATAAAGTACAGTTGAGAGTCAAACAGGACACCAAGGTTCCGTATTGGCTCCGTGAGATGTAGAGTGAATGCATGGAGGGCAATGCCGTCAGCGCCTGAGGTATGGAGGTGCTGATGGGAGCCAAGCAGGAGAGCCTCGATCTTGTTGACATTCAACTACAGGAAGTTAGCTCTCATCCAGGACTTGATGTCCGACAGGCAGTCTGTCAGGACAGCAGTGGTCCTAGAATTGAGGGTGAAGGCAGAGAGGTACAGTTTTGTTTCATCCACATACATGTGGAAGTTGACCCCATGTCTGCCGATGATGTCACCAAGAGGGAGTATATAGATATTGAAAAGGAGAGGGCCAAGGACAAAGCCCTGAGTGATACCACACATGATGGTGCGGGGGCTGGAGGAGAAGCCGTCAGTGGCGACAAAGTGGACACAACCGGGTTCCTACTTATTGCTAGGTAAACAGAGGCATATGGAGTAAGGAAACTTGCCTAATGTTTCGCACTGCCAGGAAGCAAACCCAGCAATCTCGCTTGCGAAGCGAGTGCTCTAACCACTGAGCCACAGGTCTCCACCTAAGCTACAGAACTCCAATGTGTCAGTTACATTGGGGTTGGGGTTGTTGAAATTACATGTTTTCACACTTACTGTGCTATTGCGCTTGTGGTTTGATGGGTTTCATTATTGCTGATGACCTCAGTCACTGTTAAAAACAATCCTCTTAAGGATATATGACAAGTTACAAAATTATACTTCCTGGAAAAATATTGCTGGATACCAGGCCCAACATTTTATCTAGACTCAGTTTCAAAGACCATTTGATCTTACAATTTAAAGTTTCAGCTTTCAGCCATTTTTCCCCATTCTCTAGAACTCCTTCCTGGAAACCCTCTACTTTGCCCCCTCCTTCCCCACTTTTAAAACCCACTTTCAGATCTATTTCTTCGATCGCACTTTCAGCCATCGAACCCCCCACCCCACTCAGGTGCCCAGTCAACTGTGTGAAGAGCTTTCAGATGTTCTCTTGATGTGAAAGGCATTATATAAATGCAAATTGTATCGTATTGTCACCTACATGTGGAAATTTCCCTGGAATGGAATGTGCACTGTTTCCCTGGAGGGATGCACCTGTTTTACCTAATTATTAGTATAAGGAAAGTATTAGGTGCAGGTTGAGAGCCAAGACTTGGTGACACAGGATTAGGATGGTACTGCTGTATTTTAATCAGCTAAAAAAATTCATAACTTGGCATTGAGAGCAAAGTCTGGTACAGTCTGGCAAGCTTCCTGCTGCTTGACCAGCTTGGATCATCCTATTGATTAAGGTTTGGGCTTGCAGGATTTACATCAGGATAATTAATCTTAGATAATTTTGGGTAAAATATTGTCCAATTTTACTTTGCGAAATTCTTCATAATAATAACCCTTGCATTTTATTTTCGCAGACTTTTACTCTAGAATATCATGACTGTATTTCAGCACTTTGGGATGTCCTCCCAATGTGAAAGGCACTGTACAAATGTAATTTTGTTGCAATTTTATTGTTTTTGTATTTGCAGGAAAACCCAGCAGCCAACGTCACATTAACAACCATGAAGTGAATGACTAATTTCTTCATCTGGGTGGGTTGGTTGGCCAGCACACCAGGCAAAACTCCCCTTTGGAACAGTGCCATGGGATCTTTAACATTCACTTGAACCGGCAGATAACATCTCGGCTTAACGGCTCTTCTGAAGGGTGTGACTTATGACAATGCTGTGCTCCCCCAGCACTATCAGCTCAAATTCTCAATATGGGGTTTAATCCACAACCTTCACCTTTTGCTTGAAGGTTCAACAATAGTCTTCATTTTCATTTCATGTGAAGGGCCCTGGATTCAAGTTGTTGTATTAGTAGAAAGGCACTATATCAAATCCAAGGATTATTATTTGTCTCTGCTGCAAAGCAGCTAAGTCACAATTCAAACTCTTCTAGATAACAGTTTTTTAAATTATTTATTTAACACAACTAACTAACACAACACTACAGCATTATACATCAACATTTGGGCTGCCTTTTTAACAAGACTTTTAATGCAGAGCAACAATAACAACTGGTATTTTTATAGCACTCTTCACATGAGGTAGCATCTCAGAGCACAATACATTTTGCAGATTGCAGCCTGAACATTTCAGTGTGAGGTGGTCAGAACTTTTCTCCTAGTTGAGCTGATGAAACTGCAGTCTGCAGAGCAAAGGTTTAACAATCATTTTAACCGAGTCAGATGTCACTCATTTTGCTTCCTGAAGCTGATAACAAATATTAGCAAAATGATTCACGCATTCTAATCTTCAGAAATAATTGAAAGTTTCACATCTGGTTTCGATTAAAATCATATGCATACTTTTTCTGCATAATACGGTGATGATTTCAGAAGCGACTTCAGAAATAATGATTTAACTTACATATTGTGCACTACTCTTTTGTAAACCTGAACTATATGATCATTACATTATTAATAATAATTGTTCAATGAATCATTCTAATTAAAGCATATGGATGGATCCAAGCTTCATTTTTGTCAGAAATACAAATAGTAATACATGCATTCACTATATTCCTATCTCTTCCAAAGTACTTGTAAAAAGTAACAATTAATCATTTTTCCATTTACATAAAAGATGCCAGTGCAGTACAGGGTGTAAGCCTAGCTCACTTGGTTATACTCGCCTCTAAGTCAGAAGGTTGTGGGCTCACAGTCTTGACTGACATGCCAATGCAGTGCTATTTACCTGATCTGTACAATGGTCATCTAAATAATGTTTTACTGTTTGAAAGAGTACTAAATAGAAAGATTTTGTGTTTTTAGCCCACATTGTTGGAGGTGCTGTCTTTCAGATGAGACGTTAAACGGAGGACCCATCTGTGTGTTCAGGTGGGCATTAAAAGATTCCATGGCACGTTTCAAAAATAGAATCAAGTTCTTCCAGGTGTCCTGAATCTGCATACAGATAAAATAATAATCTGTAATACATCAGATATCATCATAGAAAAAATAACTTGTACCTGCAATATCATTAATGTGGCCATTCTAAAGGACTATGACGTACGAAATAAGGAACTAGAGAGGAAATAAGGAATTACAGGAAGTATGTTGATCTGTAAAATGATGCATGTGGCAGTACAAGACGAGCATAATTCCTATAATCTTTGGTGCAACGAGGACTGCAAATAAGACAAGTCAGAAATGGCTTGACAGGATAAAGTCGCACAAAGTTTGGGAAGTTCAAATATACTAAGAAAAGTTATAGCCAATCTAACATAGCAGAGTTATTGGTCTGGCTGACCCATCACTTAAAACCATTTGGAAACTCTTTACAGAATGAACTGAACTGCAACCACATAATAATTATTTTTATTATTATATCTGCATGCTCTACACTCCTGTAAAATTATAATTATAGACGTCTCCCATTATTGAATGTAATGCAACCATAATAAAGTAACTCTATTTACTTGATCTGTACAATGGTCATTTAAATAATGTTTTACTGTTTGAAAGAGTACTAAATAGAAAGATTTTGTGTTTTTATAGTGAACAATCACTTCATTACATCTCAAAGCGCTTCAGAAGTAACTGCTGTCAAGTTTATTGATTTGTTTTAGTAGGCGATGAGTAGCAATTTGCACAGAGTGAGATCCCATAAACAGCCATGAAGTAAATGACCAATTTATCTGAAGGATTGTTGACTAGGCAGGACACCAGGAGAAAATCCCTTCTTTTTTCAAATAATAGAATTTTTAAAGTCACCTAATGAAAAGTCAGAATGAGCCTCAGTTTAACGTCTTCTTCAATATAAATAGAGTCGTGACTGCAATAAACTAGTGTTAATAAAATATAAAACTTTTGTTGACTAATGTATACTAAAATGTTTTGATACAGTATTGTCAAAGTCACAAACAACGTCCTCTCTATCTATAACCAGGGCTCCCTCTGCCTCCTCATCCTCCTGGATCTCTCTGCCGCATTTGACACAGTCGACTACACCATCCTCCTCCATCAGCTCCCTCATCTACTTTAATGGGACCGCACTCGCATGGTTCGAGTCCTACTTAACCAACCACCTCCATTTTATCACAGCAAATGGTTTCTCCTCCCACCCCTGCCTGGTCACCTGCGGGGTACACCAGGGCTCCATCCTTGGGCCTCTTCTTTTCCTTATCTATATGCTCCCTCTGGGCAATGTCATCCGCAGACATGGGATAAACTTCAACATGTATGCGGATGACACACAAATCTACTTTGCCTCCTCCAGTACCAACTCCAGGTCCACCGATGTTCTATCAGCTTGCCTGGTAGACATCAGGGCCCGGATGAGTGCCAACTTCCTGCAGCTGAATGTGGACAAGGCAGAAGCCATACTGTGGCTCCCATCAATGTCTTCACTCCTGCGGATCTAACCTCCTCAACCTCCCTGGGCTCTCCCTCACACTCACTGCACCAGTGCACAACCTAGGTGTCCGGTTCGACGCCCAGCTGTCCTTCCTCCCCCACATCCGGTCGTTGACCAGGACCGCCCTCTTCCACCTCCGCTACATTGCCCGCCTCCAATCGTACCTTACCCCAAATGTAGCCGAAACCCTCGTGCGTGCATTTGTCACCTCCCACCTGGATTACTCCAACGCACTCCTCGCTGATCTCCCCAGCTCCACCATTCACAAGACCCAGCTCAATCAGAACTCTGCTGCCTACATACTGACCCGGACCAAACTCCGTACCCACATCTCACTAGTTCTGGTCAGGCTCCACTGGCTCCCCATCACCGAACAATCAACTTCAATATCCTCACACTCGTGTTCAAATCCATTCACTCCCTGGCACCTACCTCTCCAACCTCCTCACTCCCCAATCCACCACCCAGCGCAGAGCCATATATAAGTGCAAGTTGTTGTTGTAGTAGAAAGGTGATGATTAATCTGAAAAGATTATTCTAACAAGATTGGAGCTAGGTGGCCAACTAACATTTCCTTCTGCCCAGATGAACTCTTGGCTTTCAACCATTGGCATTGTAACCTCTTTTCAGATAATTTACCTTAATAGCCGCTGGGTTTATCACAGGGTATGTGTTGTCAAAGCAGAGCCCTTGGTTTTCTGTTCATCCGCAGCATCACAACTCCAGAAACAGACTGTTTCATCAGCAGCCAATGAAACCAATGTACGACCATCAGGACTGTGAGCCAGGTGCAGCACCCTCCCTGTGTGACCTGCAAATGGTCAGAGATTCTACCTGAGGCCCAGTTTCATTCAGAATGTGAACAGAGAATATCATGCACTGATACCTTGAATAGCACTTTCTGTCTGTAAGTTAATTTTACGCATCAGCTTAAATCATGAAGTGAAATCGTACTGTATCGACTTGTTACTGTGCAGAATTGTTCAAAGAATAAGTGGCCATTAAAGTTCATTCACCACAATTAAACAATTTCTTTTATTTAAGATTTAATCATTTATTCATAACAAACAAAAAAAATCAACCTGTGATGCAGATGTAAATGAGTTTTTGTATAACTGTGACTGTTAAGGGACCAATTGACTCACAACTTCTAACTGCGCAGGCAGTGCAGTATCTCACCACAGCTTTTTCCACTTCTCATACCTCTTTGCTGTTACTGGTGTGTTTGAAGGGAGAAATTGCAGTTGAAGGTCAGAGACTGTGATAGACAAAATGCAGATGAAAAAATAATCCTTGCATTTGATATAGCGTCTTTCCCTCACAGCCCTTCACAGAATCTACTGTAAAGTATAATGACTGTGTATTTTGTAGGTAAAGTCAGCCACCGATTTGTGCACAGCCAGGAAGTGAGTGACCAATTGTATCTGGGATAATGTTGGCCAGGACACGAGGAGAAATTCACTTTTTTAAAAATAAAACCATAGAATGTTTAATGTTCACTTGAATTGGTCGATGGGACCAGGGTTTAACATTTAATCTGAAAATGACACCTTTAACACTGTAGCACTCCCCCAGCACTGTGCATAGTCACCTTAGACTGACGTGGGGCTTACTGAGTCAGAGGCAAGTGTGCTACTCACTGAGTCATGCTGACACCTGTTTCATATTAGCATCAGTGACTGTGTGAGCTGAGAAGGAAACTCTTGCCAGGCTGAAGTGAGATAGGCTGAGTCACACCAGTAGGCCTGCATAAGACTTTGCACCAAAGTGCCAAGAGTGATTATGCCAGGACAAGAAAAACTGTGTCTCTTGGAGTCCTGTAGCGTAGTGGTTAAAGCACTCGCCTCGAGAGCGAGAGGACCTGGGTTCGATTGCTGGGCAGGGCGAAACCTTAGACAAGTTTCTTTACTCCACAAGCCTATGTTTACCCAGTAGTAAGCTTTTCTGGGAATAATAATCCCTCCAACAATAAAAAATAATGATAATAATTTGCTCACTCAATCCACGACTGCTTGTGGGGACACTGCTATGTGCAATTGGTGCTGCAATTCACTCATAAAATATACAGTCAATTCACTTTACAGTATATTCTGTGAAGCACTTTGAGATGTCTCGCAGACGTGATAAGACACTATATCAAATGCAAGGATTATTACTATTATAAATGACTTGGTAACCTGACCTCTCATCCTGCAATAGAAATTGTGTGGAGGAAAGCAGGCTAAGGTTGAGTAATGATAATGGTGGATTGGATGAATATCATGAAGTTTCCCAACATCTGTTAGGAAAGTAACCCAGAAAAGCGCTGTGAATTTAACTGACCATAAAATTAAAAATTACATGAAATGAATTGGAGTACTGTGTAGAGATCTAGACATTGTGAGATAAAGGGGCTACCTGGACCCGAGAGGCAGCGCAGCGGAAAACAACAAGGACAATTCCCAGTGTTAGTGGATAAGTTATGAGCAGTGATTCGACAAGCTCGGGTTCTTCAGTCTTGAACAGAGATGTCTCAGATGGGACCTAAGACAGAGTTGTAAGATTTTAAAAGAAATTGAGAAGCACTCTGAGCTCTCTGAGACGCCATCTGGCGTGAAGGGTGCTATATATATGCAAGTTGTTGTTGAGAAAATAAACCCAGAGGCAGCAGAACAAGAAGCCACAGGTTTAGTATTGCAAAGGGCAATTTAGGATGGACACCAGACAATGTTTCTTTACCCAGAGGGTAATTAACCACTGGAGCAGGTTACCAGGTCACTAGCGGCTAGGACGCTGGACTCATTTAAAAAGAATAGAATGGTATAGTGGGTATTTTGGATGGATATAATAATAATTCTTACATTTGATAAAGATCTTTTTCAATCTAATCTTTTGTGTGATCTTGTGACTTTACTTACTCTTTGAGTGTTATTTTCTCAAATACTATCTAGACTCTGGAGATATCTGAGGTTATTAAATTGCTACATTGGTTTAGCAGCACCTTATGGATGCAATTGCAACCAACAGACCAAAGCAACTGTGAAAACCCACAATGTTATCACAATGAGCAATGTTAGATCGTTAAAACCTCCAAATGTTCTTTCTTTTAATAGAACTGATCTGTATCAAAATAAATGATACTTATCCAAGCCCTTGGATCAAAACTTTGCTCTTCTTCAAATTCAAATGCAGCTAATGGCAAATTTCAGGCCATGATAAGACATTTGTGAGTTTATTCACAATGAATACAAATTTATTAATCAGCTTCAATTGCAGCAAATTCAGACTAGTGAATAAGCCCTCTAGAGACAGGGAGTACCATAACTTAGGGCATAACAACAACAACTTGCACTATAAAGGATCCTTCAAACAGATAGTGCCTTGGAGCATTTAAGAATGGCTTGACACCGAGTTAGAAAGGGATGGGAAGGTGACTGAAGGCACAGTCAAAAAGGAAAGTCTTCAGGTGTGATTTGAAGATGGGCAAAGAGGGGACAAGACGGAGGGTTTGAGGGAAAGAGTTCCAGAGATTTGGGGCACAGTGATTGAAAGCATGGCCATCAAGTAAGGAGCGGAGGGGACCAGTGCCAGCTGAGAGAAGCCAGCAGGTAGTGGAGTGGTGTGTGAGCAAATCAGAGAGATAGGAAGGTGCCAAATGGGAAGAAATTTCAAAGTGAGAGTGAAGATCTTGAAATTTCATTCTGCAACAGGGAGCAAGGGGACCTGGCAGGCACTGGGGTGATGAGAGTGTGGAGCCTCGTAAGGATGAGGATTGGATTTTGAACATTTGGACCTTGTTTATATTGGAGTTTGGGCGAAATGTTGGGCAAGTTTCCTCATTCCACACGCCACTGTTTACGTAGCAATAAATAGGAACCCTGTTGTCGTTGATTGACGGATCGCTTTTCCGGGGATAATAATCCCTAAAAAACAAATAGTCATTGGCTAAACAAAATTGAGAACCACCTTATGTTGAAGGCAGAACACTGTTTGTAAGTGCAGAGTGTATCATTCAGTGCTGCTTCACAAAGATACAGGCTTAACCATATTAGTGATGATAATTATAATACCCCAGTATTCCGTTCAACAACAACAACAACAAGATTCCATTTATAAAGCGCCTTTCACGTCAGGAGGACGTCCCAAGGCGTTCCTCAGCATTGATCTTCTTCAGCTCACACGAATGTGAAGTAACAAACAAAATGAAAAATGTGGCTCAATTGTACCATCGGTAGTCTGCTGTCTGCGTCAAACGTACAAAGGACTTGCAGGCCACTGTACCACACATCTACATGGTGGGCAACCTTCTCGCTTTCTGTCACCGCTCATACATTTGCAGATCTTCATTAACCTCCAACCTGCTATTGCTCTGCTTTCTCGTCAACTATCAATGCCGTTCGTTGTCACATACAGTCTTGTACAAATCAGCAGCATTTTAACATTAACACTTTTTTTATTCGTGCTGCTGCAAGCAAAAGCGAATGCACTTCCAGCAGTAGACCAATGTGGAGCAGGAAGCACGACCAATACACCAAGCATTGGGGGCTGTTACAAATTAACACAAGGTTTCAGAGGTGCATGTGCACAAAACTCCGAAATTAGGTGTTTGTTTTTATAACATTATTAAATAGATGGTGGCATGATCAACTCCTGGATGCGAGTTTTAGAGTATCACAGAGGCATATGCACAAATTAATTTTCTACCCGCTGCACTTATATCGAAGAAATCCAAATTAAACTGCTTCTGATACCAGCTTCTCCAACACTATACACATTGCCTCAACGCTTATTTATGGTGCAGGGTAAAGGAAACATAATTTGTAATGTAGTAAAAAAGACTTTTGTCAAAAAAAATTCTTCTCTTGCATTTTGCTGAAAAAAACATTTTAAAAAATCTGTCTGGGAAGAACCATATTCCTTAATGTGTTCACATCTTCTTACAGTCAAAGAGAGGATCCAAACAGTACCTTTGAGCTCAGTTGACTTGCTAAGGGATGGATAAGTCCAGACAGAAACTTGGTTACTGGGAAATCCGTGGCCAGTAACTAACTCCTTATACTTTGGTAACCAGATCAGTGAACAAATCTACAAAGTACAAGAGAATTACTGTCAGTATCATGCAGGGTTTTCTTTCAAAAACTATTCTTAAAAGCTGAAAAACTGCCTTGTCACTGTGAAGGTTTTCTTTGATCATGTCTGGTGACAATGTATTACAGTATCAAAGGCATTTATTTTTGTTGTGGTACAGCTGAACTAAAAAAGTGGAACCAGAACTCTCTATAAATAAATAAGTTTGGTTCAGCTTTTAAGTGGTTTTAGACATACCAACTTATGTATATATATCTACACACACACAGCAGTAGAACAAATTGTACAGAGGGAAATTTCAGTACGGTTTCTCACACATATGGTCAACTTCATCACCCCACAGAGTTACACACATACTTGTGTATTTAACCATCTTTACAGGAAGTCACTGGGTAGTTTGCTGTTATCTGCAGATAAAGTTCAAAACCCTTGCTCTTGCTTTCAAAGCCTTCCACGCCCTAGCTCCTCTCTAACTCTGTGACCTGCTAACTCTATACCAAGCTGTCCACTCCTTCCGCCCAGCGGGCTCTGACCTGCTCCAATATCCCCCACCATCAGCTTTTCTACCTCTATGCCTTGGAATTCCATCCCACAGTCCCTTCGCCTTGCCCCCATCTTTGCCTGTTTCAAGGCCCGTCTCAAGGCCCGTCTCGAGACCCTCCTCTTCAACTGAGTCTTCGGTCACCTTCCTACCCCGATCCTCCCTGCCCTCCACCCCTTCTGATCCCAACCACCAGCTAGGGAGTGGATACTCGACTGTCCGACACCTTGGGACATCCTCCCAATGTGAGAGGCGCTAAACAAATGTAATTTGTTGTTGTTGCTGTTAAGTTGTTTGCTTGTGAGACATTGCTATGAGCAAGCTGGCTGCCATTTTTGACGAAATACACAAACACTATGACAAATAATCGTTGCATTTGATATAGCACTTTTCACATCTTCTAGACGTCTCAAAGCGCTTCACAGAATATACTGTAAAATAAATTGACTGTATATTTGTGGGTGAAACACAGCAGCCAATTGCGCACAGCAGTGTCCCACAAACAATCTGGATTGAAGTGACTAAATTATTTACAGTACTATACTTTACAGTCATTGTATGAGACCTCCTCCTGATGTGAAAGGCACTACATCAAATACAAGGATTATTATAGCAGCTTTGTTGGTTGCCTAATGCTGATCCTCTCACACAGCTTTTATATTCAAATTCTCAGGGTCTCTGGAGTCGTGAAAGCAGGCTCATAAACCGGAGCTGGCATTTTTGCAGACCCTTCAAGACCATCTGTGTCAAATGGTGTTCAAAATGTACTAACTGACTTGAATTGATTGCTTAAGTACTGCAAAGACATTAAGACATCTACATATAAACAGTCAGTTTTTGGATGGATTATATCCGCTGGAACAAAACAATGGCAGTGAAAGCTGGGACATGCTTCTAAACATCAGACAACTTTCTCCCAGCTTTCATTGTGATTTTGCTGCCATTGAGCTTCCAAAAAGCCCCTGTAGGCGAGCAAATGACTTGATGTCATTATGCTACTTGCAGGATGACATCAAGACATGCGTTCAAGCATGGAACACTATTGGGATCTGCTCGGTCGGACTCTTCACCATCAAATTAGTTCTCCTGTGAGCAGAGACAATGAGATATCTAACTCAGTGTTTGGTCTTGCCTGATCCAGAACTGGCAAAACGATTCATTGTACAACAGTATAAATGTATTGTCAGAATCTACTGTCAAATTTGTGCTTCTCTAGCACTTTCTTATTTCATATTTGTTTTTCTCTGCCTATTAATTTCAAGGTCATATTACAATGTAGTTTACATTTATATAGCACCTTAGAAACATAGAAAGTAGGCCATTTAGCCCATCAAGTCTGTTCTGCCATTCTATAAGATCATGGCTGATCTGTACCTCAACTGCAATTACCCATCCTTGCCCTATATCCCTTGATACCCTGACCTAACAAATATCTATCCACCTCAGTCTTGAAATTGTGAATGAATCCAGCATCCATAACATTTTGACGGTGAGAGTTCCAGATTCCCAATATCCTTTGGGTGAAAAACTGCCTCCTAATTTCACTTTCATGTCAGGAGGATGCCTCAAAGAGCTTGAAGAACATCTTACTTGTGACTTTGTGTCTACATCATTCACACAGCTCCCTGTCTTTGTGTCCCAAATCCGTAAATGTCCATCTTTCATTCCTCCCCCGACAGCTAGAATTCCTGGCTGCCAGGGGCACCAGTTTATGGCCTATTGAAATGGAAATTGAAACACTGTTAAATGACAATATTCACTTTGTTTTCTTCATCACACTTATTGGGCTTTTCATCAACTTTTAAAAGAATTAAAAGCAAAATGTTGAGTATAACTTGTGGAGTCCTGTAGCTCAGTGGTTAGAGCACTCGCTTTGCAAGCGAGAGACCTGAGTTCAATCCCAGGCAGGGCGAAACCTTGGGCAAGTTTCCTTACTCCACACGCCTAATAATAGTCCCTCCAAAACCAAAAACAATAATATATTGGTCATTTTCAATCTACGACTGTTTGTGGGACATTGTTGTGCGCAATTGGCTGCCGCGTTCGCCCACAAATATACAGTCAATTCACTTTACAGTGTGTTCTGTGAAGCGCTTTGGGACGTCCTCCCGATATGAAAAGCGCTATATCAAATGCAAGGATTATTATTATTATTATTACTTACCACAAAATACTTCCTTAAAACATGCGACAGTAGAAATATGAAATTTGTCTATCACCTTCACTGCTGACTGGCGATTGTCAATGGTCCTGTGTGGTACAGTCCTAACACCAGCTCCTGGAGCATTGGGCCAGATGTTCAGCAACCCATCATTGCCTCCACTTGCAAGGAACCTGCCATTCGGTGACCATTTCAGACTACAGACTTGAGAGGTGTGCCCACAGAGTGTTCCAACATGGTGCTGTGCTATCCGTACATCATGGTGGTGAATGGAGCCAAATTTTGAACCACTGAAGAACATAAAGCAGATTAATAAATAAAGAAAGAAATAAGATCCTGACATGCTAAGATTCTAAATCGGGGCATGACATCGCATAAGACTATATCCATAGAAAAAATTCACTTTTGAAATCATATGATGCCCCAGGTATCAATCTGTAAAATAAAATGTTTGCAAATTGATTTTTGTAACATTAGATCACAGTGAAATCTGCAGCCTCCTTTTAGAAAAGCTCCAAAGCAGTTTCCTACTTGCCTTCTGTTCCAACTGGTCTGACACACATGTATACTCACACAAAAAATCATGGGCCAGATACCACTAGGATTCAAAGGCTCCAGGCAAATGTTGACTTGACATAGTCTCCAGCACAAAATTGTGCATGTTACTTTTCATGTCACTGCATTTTGCAGCATACATATTGAAGTACAAATATGTCATTTGCTTGAGCAAAATTGATGGTATCAGTAAGAATAGGAAACTCGCTGCATTTCGAAGATTAGATAGGTGTTAGCTTTTTGTTTCAAATAAAGACGATGTGATGATAACACAGATCATGTCCACTATAAAGCTGCAAATTTTGGCTTGGTTCAAAAATACCACAATGCTTCATATTTCTGGCATTGTCTGACTATCACTGTGCTTAATATGATTATAATATTTTTTATTTTCATATCACACTGCAATTTATCAGCATGTTGCTGCAGATTCACTGTGATGTTAAAGTGCTTTGGCAAATGGCCATACCTGCTAAGAATGTAATCATTCCAGCTCAGTGATCCAACCATTGAACTATGACCCTGCATGTTTCGTATCCTTTTCTTAGTCTCAACATCCCACAACTAAGAGAAAAACAATTATTTTCAGTTGTGGCAAAGTCACCTTTTCCATTCAAGGTACAGAATGTTTCCTCTGTGTCAAGATTTATTTCAACATCCCTTTTCTGTGATTATCTTACGTTTTGTGCCCTTGTTACTGGTACACAGCCCGGTGGAATAATTTATTATTTATCCTAATCATAATCTTGAATACTTCTTTCAGGTCATCCCTTAAACTTAAACATCTTAGCTCTAGTGAAAATAAATCTTAATTTTTCAAGCTTTTCTTCATGTCTTTTGTGATAGATCTCTTCAGAGATAATATAATACAATTTACATTTATAGAAGAGACTTTCACGACGGGAATACATTTCAAAATGTTTGACAATTACAGGCTGGCGAGCTGGGGCTGATCTGGGAAAAGAGGGCACTGGTATTATTTTAATAATTTAAATAATTTAGTGTTATTCAATTATTATGCATAATATTTGGGGAGCTAAGAGCCTGCATTGAAGTCATGTGGTTAGAGCACTCGCCTCTCAAGCAAGAGACTTGGGTGCGATTCCCAGCAAGGCGAAACGTTGGGCAAGTTTCCTTACTCCACACGCCTCTGTTGACCTAGCGGTAAGTAGGAACCTGTTTTTTAGTCAACAACAACAACTTGGATTAATATAGCGCCCTCCACGCCGGACGGCATCTCAGAGCGCTTTACAGTAACGGATCCCGGGGCCGAGCCAGGGGGAGGGAGAGGAATGTGACCAAAGGCATAGTCAAAAAGAAAGGTCTTCAGCAGAGACCTTAAAATGGGAAGGGAGGAAGCGAAACGAAGGGAGTGAGGAAGACAGTTTCCCCAGCCTCGGGGCATAGTGGAGTCCTGTAGCTCAGTGGTTAGAGCACTCGCTTTGCAAGCTGAGTTCAATTCCAGGCAGGGCGAAACCTTGGGCAAGTTTCCTTACTCCACATAGAGCCTAATAATAATCCCTCCAAAACCAAAAAGAATAATAAATTGGTCATTTCCAAACTACGACTGTTTGTGGGACATTGCTGTGCATTCGCCCACAAATATACAGTCAATTCACTTTACAGTGTGTTCTGTGAAGCGCTTTGGGACGTCCTCCCGACGTGGAAAGCGCAATATCAAATGCAAGGATTATTATTATTATTATAGTGGCTGAAGGCACAGCCGCCGAGGGTGGAGCGGAGGACTCCAGGGACGAGGAGGAGGCCAGACCCAGAGGAACGGAGGCAACGGGTACTGTTTTGAGGAGAGAGGAGGGCAGAGAGGTAGGGGGGCGCAGAGGAGTGCAGGGACTTAAATACAAGGGTGAGGATCTTGAAATCCATCCGCTCTGGGACAGGCAGCCAGTGCAGTCTGGCAAGGACTGGGGTGATCGGGGAGCGGAGTTTGGTGTGGGTGAGAATGTGGGCGGCAGAGTTTTTAATGATTTGGATTTTATGGATGGTAGTGGATGGGAGACCGGTGAGGAAGGCATTGGAGTAGTCCAGCCGAGAGGTGACAAAGGCACGGACCAGGGTTTCAGCGGCTTTTGGCTAGAGGTATTGGCGGAGACAGGCGATGCGTCAGAGGTGGTAGGAGGCGGTGCTGGTGAGGGACCGGATGCGGGGAAGGAAGAATAATTGGGGGTCGAACCTGACACCTAGGTTGCGTACGGGTTCGGAGAGTTTTAGGGGGAGGTCGAGTAGGTGGAGGAGGTGAGAGCCATGAGATTTTCGATGTTGACGAGAGCCAGAGTATGGCTTAGTCGATTGGCGGATCATTTTTCCTGGAGTAATAATCCCTTTCAAAAAATAATAATAATAATTTGGTCACTTAATCCACTACTTGTGGATTGTGGACTGTTTGTGGAACACTGCTATGCACAATTGGCTGCGCGTTTCACCCACAATTATTTACAGTATATTTTGTGAAGCGCTTTGAGATGTCTCGAAGACATGATGATGCACTATATCAAATGCAAGGATTATTATTATTTTTATTAATAGGCTAGTGGATAAATTATTCCCTTTCTTTACTTGCTTATTTACTTACTTTTATTTACTGCATGGTTGAAGGAGAACAGAATTGAGAGATATGGGAAAGGCGATTAGGAGAGGTGGAGGCTCATGTGGTGTAAAAACACCCACAAGGTATTGTTCTATCTAATTTTACGTACTTACAATTCATTGCAAGTGCTTATGTGGTTTGACATTCAGAAATTATTATCTGAAATCTTTCCAGTCAACCAAATTGAAGTGAGAATACACTGACCACCATTCTGTTACCTGCACGTCACCAGCACTAGTTCCAAGTGCAAGGTTGTTTCTATCTTTAATCCAGGCTACTGATGAGACATAGTCAGATTCCACTTTTATGGCCTCAAATGCTTCAGACTCTGGGAGCCAAACATACACAACATTGGAAAGAGCAATGGCTATAAGATTTGTGGTGTTCCAGTCAATCAAATTGAGATCTAGAAAATACAATGAATAATGGTATCAAAAGATGAGTTGGTCATCTTGATTTCATAGGATGTTACTTAGAAGTTTTTCTCAGCAAATCCTGATCATGTCAATTACTGATTTATCTGAGGATGAATTTTTATTTGTGAAGATCAACAAGAGTTAATTCATCAAAATCAATTTTCAAATTGGCATAGTTGTTAACACAACTGATCCACATAGACAAGAAAGGTATAATCTTAGGTTAGACAATTTCAGCTGGAACAGGAGTAGTAACATTGCAGCTGGTATCACAATTCTAACTCCGGAGATGAAGAAGCAATAAGAATTCTTGCTCCCATTGCTTTAAAATCTATATACAATGGTTAGGCACAAGATCAGGCTCACCCTTGATGGCCTATAGCTAAATAGCATGCTGGCACTCACTGGGGTCCATCATAAACGGATTGCAATAAAAGCAATCCATGGTTTATAATTGGGACAAGTGTATAAAGACCTTACATTTTAGGGTCACATATAAAGAGTTGACACTTGGATGCGGTAATGGGGAGAACTGAAGCCATTAGAATTGCATCCCAGCCCAAGTTAGTACTTTTGGATAAGTAGGGAAGAATTTTTTTTAAAAAATTTCTTGATGATTATGTTCAAAGTCTAAAATGTAAACTAGAGGAATTTTGGTGGGGATAGTAATGGATAGCAATACTTACAGTAATCATCCTTCAGACCTGGAGCATCCAAGATTTTCATTGGGACTGAAGGTACGTGTCGTTTGTCTGCCTTGTTATCAATTGAATTGTGAAGAGAAAGATCACCCAGATTGCTCTTGTGCCCTGAAACAAACCGCAGATTGTTTTGTTGTGTTGATCAATAATTAATGGATAGGTGCAGGGCAGCGAGATTTTTCGAACCTCACCTTCATGTGGCATTTCTTATTTTCAAAATTCTTTGAAGTGAAATCCATCACAAATTTCTGTTTTTCAAAGTCATTTGAAAAGTAGATGAACGGTATCATTTCACTAATAATTAATTTTAAGTTAGTTGCTGTGAAAGATATGCCTCTGAGCAGGACCCTGTCAGCACATCATTTTACCCTTTGAAAGACTCCTCCTCAATTATTTGGGAGAAGGGGAAAGAGCAAAAACATTTGTTTGTATTTCAGTAATCTCAGTTGGCATCCTTTTCTCAAGGCAACTTTGTATATGCACCTGTTTATCAAGATGATTTAGTTCGTCCATTTTCTATGCTCACATCCCTGTGAAGGCTTGGCAAACATCTATCTTTACTACACAAGGGAGAAGAATTAGAAAGGTAAACAACAACAACTTGCATTTATATAGCACCTTTCAAATCAGGAGGATGTCCCAAGGTGCTCTGCACAGTCAAGGGTTTGGACCTGAGCTGGAGGCTGGAGTCAAGAGGGGTGGAGGGCAAGGGGTTTGGTGGTGGGAAGATGACCAAAGGCACGATTGAAGAGCAAGGTCTTGAGATGGGCCTTGGAGGAGGCAAGAGAGGAGCAAGACAGAGGGGCTCCAGGATGGAGTAATAGGGGGTGGGTGCAGAAAGGCAAGTGGAGCAGGGAGGCTCGGGAGGAGAGATTAGGATATGTGGAGGTTCAAGTGGAATAATAAATACCGTAATAAACTAAATGAGCAGAATGACTTGCCTCGGTGCTGTAGATCTAATTCTGCTAGTTATGGGCTATGATCTACTTAATCTCTGGTGATCTAATAGAAAGAAAAACGTTGCATACTGGAAATCTAAAATATAAACAGGACTGCTGCCCAGGTCAATCTGCATCCAATAGAGAAAAACATTTGGGTTTCTGATGAAAGGTTATAAACAGCAGTTATCTCTTCAAAACAGTTTACTAAACTAAACACAGACTTTCAAAAATACAGCAATGAAAATGTTATCGTGTTATTATTGCTAAAACGTGCTGCTTTTATATCGTTCACAGTTTTGCAAATAAAGTAGCCCTAAGATGTTTTAGTGTATTGTTTAATGTGGCGGCAGGAGAGGAATTGAGAGAGACTGTGAGGTTTGCATCTCTGTGGTCAGCAGTGCATCAGGCAGTAGATGTACTTTGCGTGTCTAGATCATCAATAGCACCACAGGACACACACAAATCACACTCTAGACCTACTCAGCTTGGGTTTAAATGGAAACTATAACCATGGTTCAGCGGTCAGCAAACATCAGGTATGAAGGTTATATCATATCTGGGTAACTTTTACAGTTACTTCTACTTCTTATCATCGCACCATGAGTCACAGAGCAGACAGGCCAATCACAACAGAGCTTCAGATAACAAGGCCCTTCAGCGCATTTGATCTCATCTTTCCAGAGATCCCAGTCTTCCTTCCTCCCATCACAGCATCAAGTTGTTTAATGAATCTTGTTTGAGTCCTACATGCAGCCTGTAAGGTCTAGGTAGTCTCTTATGCTGCAGTGACTGTAACCGCATGCAGAACTCTAGGTGTGGACTGACCAGAGTACTATATATAGCTTGACTTCTGAGGATCTAAGCTGATTTGGCAATCTAGCCCAGCATTCTGTTTGCCTTATTAATTCCTGCCTCACACTGTTTTGACTGATGAGTCAACTCACATTCCTAGATGTCTTTCAGTTTCACTGCTGGCAAGTTCTAACCCATCCATGAAGTATTTGTGCCTCCCATTCTTGCTTTCTATATACAAAGCTTAGCTTCCACAGCCAAAGAGCCTGCTTTATCTGATCTGCGAAATAAATGCAAGTTGTTGTTGTGGTGGTGGTAGTGCATGGTCAGCAAAATCTATCCCTTCTGAATCCAAGCTGGCTGGAAAGTTATTTTATGCATTTCCATTTTCTTTCTGATGATTCGTGCCTTGGGACGTCCTCCTGGCATGAACGGAACTATTCAAATGTAATTTTGTATTGTATTAACTCTATAATTTTTCCAATTACTATGGTCTGGGAAATGGGTCTGTAGTTGCCAGGTATAGTTGTGTGACCTTTTTTGAACCTAAGAATCCCATCTGCTTGTTTCTAGTCTGGTGAAACCTCACCAGTAGCAACTGACTCTCTCATAATGTTTGTTAGTGCGTCTTAATTTTTCTAAATTATTGATAAATTATAAGTTACTTCCTTGCCCTCCACCCCTTTCTGATCCTGACCCACAGCTCGGATGTAAACCTCATTGTCCAGCACCTTGGGACGTCCTCTCAATGTAAAAGGTGCTATATAAATGCAATTTGTTGTTAAATATCCTAGGATACAGTCCACTAATCCTGCCATAGGCACCTACTGTACCAGTAGGGATAGTTTGATCCCAGTTATGTATGTTATATCATTAAAAGAATCAATCCTTACCTATAAATTCAACAAAGCAGGAGCAAGCAACTAAATAATGTCAACAACAACAAAAACTTGTATTTATATAACTTGCAGGGTAGCGTCCCAGAGAGCTTAACACTGTACCTTTAAATGTTTCACTGCATTTTCCAGAAATGTTCACATCTTGGTACTTGTTTATTTCAGAACGATTTAGGCTAGAAGCCTCCCTCGGACGTTTCTGTCAAAAATATATAAATGTTAGAATGGACACTGGTTTCAATAAAATAATTCAAATTCCAATAGGCTGTTTTACAACATTTGTGTGTTATTAACTGATTCACTAATTGTCCAACACCTTGGGACATCCTCCTGACGTGAAGTGCGCTATACAAATGTAATTTTGTTGTTGTTGTTTATTCCAAGTTACCAGGGGTAATCGGATAAAGAAGGCACTTGGGCTCATCGACCCATTTGATCTAATTTTTCGGGAATACCAACCCTATTGATTTCCCATTACACCATCTAATTACTTCTTAAACGGGTTCAGTATCTAAGCCACAACCACCCTCCTGAATAATCCACTTCAGCCATTGATTATTATTATACATTATTATTATTGATGAACAGCGCTCTGGGTTGATCTTCTCACTCCAATTTAGCATCTTGTGAACCTACATAAGCTTCCTACTAATTTGCCTGTTTAATGTCTATAGTTCAGAGAGCAGATCCAGCAAACAGCAAATTTTATTTTATGGCTATCTGGTTGACAAAATTTTCTTAGGAAAATCATTCATGAGACGACAACAACAACTTGCATTTATATAGCACCCGTCACCCGGTCAGAGGCTCAGGACGTTTAACGGTGTCAGAACCTGACTCCGAGCCGGGGAGAGGGAGGTTACCAGAAGCACTCGGTACCCTTCTGTTTTTAAGTTTAAAATCCTAGCACATTTTATAGGGTATCTTCAGTAATGAAACAGAGTCAAAGCATGGAGAGGCAGAGATGAAGTGAAAAATATGATATGATTAATTTTAACAAATGTTATTAATTTTATAAAATATTCTCCTTTTTTTTTTAAAAAACAGCTGATGTAGGCCATAGGTAGCAAACATTCACTGACAACATAAAATATAAGTTTTGTACCATTATTTTGTAAGATACTCTCTGTTCGCCTACTTGTCTTATGACACCGTTGACCTTCTGGTGATGGTGTGAATGATGGTTGGCGATTTGTAGGTTTACGAGCTTATGATCCGAGATGTAGTCATGAGTAATGCTTGTTGGAGTTTTTGTCTCCTCATTAGTCTCTGCGATTCTGGTCATAACTGAAAGCAAAATCATTAATGTGTGAATAGACAAACAGAAACAAGATGAGAATGATGTTTGATGTCTGTTTTAAGTCAATAAAATAACTTATAGATCGGAACTCCTAAGGGCTTCCTGTATATATTTTTTCACCTTTGATGCTATGTGATACATTGAACTGAAAAACACATTTATAATGACTTTAATACAATACACGCATGCTACAAATATTGTGTTCTTGCTTAAAGCATTTTTATAGATTAAAAAGGCATAATGGCTCGTCTTTACGCTGTTCCAAAAATGATTTCCAATGACATCTATGCTGAAGAATTAATAGCTGACCAAATTTACCCTATGGATGTTTATGAGACTGTGCTGACGCTAGAGAATAAAAACTGCACTTGACAATAATCACCTGAGAAGCACTTTGAGTTGTGGTGTTAAGGATCTATAAAAATGCCTTATTAAGTGGCAATCAATTATTGACCACTGAACAACAGCAGCAAATGCCTACATAGTGTATGTTGTGTTATTGCACCACCTAGTGGCTGCTTTTAAACCTAAATGTTTCCCTGAAGGTACATTTTCTTTGGAATTGCTTAATTCTGAATGTATTAAGAACCTGTCTTTAACTTCAGAGTGTGTTATCGTTTATATAATAATATGTAGAATTGCGATAAGCACAAGAAAAAAAAAGAGCATTACATCAAATAGATTCTGGGGAAAGGGGTATCTTTTGGTGTTTGTATTTTTGACATTTTCTCACCGTGCTGGCCATTTCCTGTGATTTTTTGTGTAAAAAAAAGTTTATTCCGACAGCATTTAATGGGTACCTCTCGTCATTATTTGTCTGGTTTCCTTTTCTTTTGGCTATACAGTATAATATTAAGTTTGTGTAAAATATTAATACTGAACACCTCAGTTTATTATGACACAACAGAGCTCTCATACCTGCTGGAGTCTGTAATGTTGGTTCATGATGTGCTGGACATGCTGCCTGACAGGCTGTATTTCTGTGCGTGTAGCGTCCATATGTGCCCAGAGCCCCTATTCCTGTTTTTGCCTCTGCCCCCCTCACCGTTACAACCCAGTTCCTGGCTCTATTACAGTCACTATTACAGTCTCAGGTCCACCTCCTATTACTTCCCCTGTACCAGTCTCAGTTTCCAACCGTGTCTCAGTCCCAGCCTCGGCTCCTGTCATTGCCCCAGTTCCAGTCACTATCCCGGCACCTGTTAAAGTCCCAGTCCTTACTGTCAGCGCCTTGGGACATGCTCCTGATGTGAAAGGCGCTATACAAATGTAATTTGTTGCTGTTGCTGCCCCTATTTCTGTCACTGTATTCTCAGTTCCTGCTACTGTCTGTGCTCCAGCCCAAGGTTGTGTCACTGCTTTATCTTTAACCCATGTCCCTATTCCAAGCCCCACCTCTGTCCCTGCTCCAGCCCTAACCCCTGTCCCTGTTACTGTCCCTGCTCCAGCCCTAACCCCTGTCCCTGTTACTGTCCCTGCTCCAGCCCTAACCCCTGTCCCTGTTACTGTCCCTGCTCCAGCCCTAACCCCCGTCTCGGTTACTGTCCCTGCTCCAGCCCTAACCCCTGTCCCTGTTACTGTCCCTGCTCCAGCCCTAACCCCTGTCCCTGTTACTGTCCCTGCTCCAGCCCTAACCCCCGTCTCGGTTACTGTCCCTGCTCCAGCCCTAACCCCCGTCTCGGTTACTGTCCCTGCTCCAGCCCTAACCCCTGTCTCGGTTACTGTACCTGCTCCAGCCCTAACCCCTGTCTCTGTTACTGTCGCTGCTCCACTGCCAACCCTCGACCGTGGTCCTGACTCAACTATTGCCACTACTGAAGTTTGGCCAACAGCCCCACTTCTCACTTCTCTCCTGTGTAAGTGCTGCCACTGTGCAATCACTGGGCTGCTACAGGCAACTGGGCTTGGCAGCTCCCACTTCACCCTGTTTCCAGCTGTGTTAGTTTTAAAATGAGACATTAGATGTTTCTTTTTTTCTGTCACCTACAAACAAGTATAGAGAGAGAGAGAGAGATAACGTCAGGAGGACATGTTGGTAATTCTGGTAAAGAGGGAGGAATATAACAGTATAACTTTGCACAAAGCATTCAGCTAATGGGAATGATCTGCAAGGCTGGCCAGGTCATCACTGGCCCAGAACTACATCTTCAGGAAAAGTCAGATCTTACCACTAAGGGTGGTTGTGTCATTGGACTCCTTTAAAAAAGCTGTTTGATGCTGTGATGGGAATTCTGGATGATAAGATCAAATGGGCCAAAGGGCTTTCTTCACCTGAATCTTTCTTCTGATCTTGTGAATAGTACTTTTCCATAATAATCTTTACAATTTCTATAGTGCTTTTTATGTCGAAAGTTTGTATCAAAGAACTTAACAGAACGTTTACTGTAAAGTCGATGACTGTATTTTGTAGGTGAACTCAGCAGTCAATTTGCACCCAAATTGCACGGATGACCAGTTTTACAAACTGCCATGCAGTGAATGACCAATTTTACTTGGGGGACGGTCGGCCACGATATTGGAAGAAACTCCCTTCCTTTTTCAAATAGGGTCATGGGAGCTTTAACATCTACCTGAACAGTATATGGGACTTTGGTGAACATCTCACCCGAAGAACAGCACTTCCAACAATTTATGTTGTGATTCACAGTGGATTTAAAGGTTGGATAAGGATATTGAACTCGATCTGCTGGGGGAGCAGGGAGAGTCAGGGAAGGATAGGGGTGATAGGCTCGTGGAGCCTAGCGCAGGAAAGGACAAGAGCTGCAGAGTTCTGGATAGTCTGTCGCTTGTGAAGGCAAAAGCCAGGTAGTCTGGTGACCCGAGAGTTAGGGTAATCTAGCCTGGATATGGTGAACGTGTAGATTAGAGTTCCGTTGGCCCAAGGAGAGGTAGTGGCAGAGGAGGGTAATATTAGCATGATGCCATTCCCCCTTCCCCTCCCCTCCCTTACTCCCCCAACCCCAGCTCGAGTCTGAAATGCTGTACTCTGTCCAGCGCCTTGGGCCATCCTCCTGACATGAAAGGTGCTATACAAATGTAATCTTGTTGTTGTTGTTGTTGAAACCTCTCAAAGAGCTCTACAGTAGTGTCAAATGTAGTTACTGGTTTTGTTGGCAAAAATGACTGTGGGACATTGCAGATGCAAAATGACAAACACCCATACAACAACAACTCGCTGTAAACCGCCCTCCACGTCTCAGAGCGCTAAACAGTAGCGGAGCCTGACTCCGAGCCGGTGGTGGGGTGGTGGGGGGAGGTGGCAGTAAGCATGGTCGAAGAGGCTGTGAACGTGATTGATGAACTAATCTGGAGATTTCTCCCAGGATAGTTAGAGAAACTCCTTCCTCTTTTCAAATAGCATCCTAGAATTTTTAACATCTACTGAAAAAAGAGACAAATGGGTCTTCGGTTCAACAACTCATCCAAAGGAAGGCAACAAAAAAAATTGAAATTCACGAATTAAACAACAACAATTAAAAAATTGTTTCTACATTTTAAGTCTTATTCCTTTAACAAAAAGTATAGCAATGAGCTGTTATGGGATGTTATGTCTGTTCAGTGCTAAGTACATGAATTATATAAAATATAGATGAGATAAAATCTGGAAATATGTTTTAGCGCCTTGCTGCCTCAGGGCATTCTCCCAATGTGAAAGACATTATAAAAATGTAATTTGTTGTCGTTGTTTAGAAGCTCCCCCATTAGCGATCTGCTTGAAAGTGGTGTTTAGAGGCAGCCCTGATAATACAGAGGTCCAATATGAAGCTGCAATTTTTTCTTAGGCTGCAATGAGAAGGTTAAATTGGCTCTTGGCTTTCCTACAGTTAGGACGGGGAAGGCTTACCGGTTCCTGCTGCTTATCCCTCTTCAGTACTCTTTACTGGAAGTGCATTGGATGGCACCTGGGTGGGCAGAGAGAGGTACAGCTCAGCTGTGGCACCCTCTCTGCAGTGGCTTGGACGCACTCACTGCCAGGGCTCACATATGAAGAATGGCATCTTGGGCAGGATACGGGAGGGCAACCAGCGCCCCCTGGAAATGCACCACAGCACAAGGAGGCTGGGACCACAAGTGAAGAAGGCAATATGCCAGTTGGGGAGAAAATTAATCAAATAATATAGGGGAAAAAAAGTTTAATAATAATACTTGCATTTGATATAGCGCTTTATCACCTCTCAAAGCACTTCACAGTACTGTAAAGTATATTGACTGGGACATCCTCCTGATGCGAAAGAAGTTATACAAATGTCATTTGTTGTTGTTTTTGTGTATTTTGTGGGCAAAACGCGGCAGCCAATTGCGCACAGCGGTGTCCCATAGTCATGGATTGAGTGACCAAATTCTTTCAAGGGATTATTACCCCCTGAAAGCGATCCGCCAACCCACCAACAACTGGGTTCCTGCTTACTCCTAGGTGAACAGAGGCGTGTGAAGTAAGAAAACTCGTTGAAGGTTTTACCCGCCCGGAAATCGAACCCGGGTCCTGTGGCTGGCGAGGTGAGCGCGCTAACCACTACGCTACAGAAATCCGTGTAGCACTCGGGAGAAAATGAATTCAATAACTGGGGGGAAAAAAACAACCCGTTTCGATGAATCTGTGGTGCTGGATGATAACAGGGATTTTTTTTTAGGATGTGTGGTGACCAAACTCTGTGGTATGTTCTCCCTCCCCCTCGCCCCATCCCCCAGGGGTTTGTCTGTCTCCGCCTTTCTCTCTATCCCAAGCATAATGGAGTCGGTGTCTGCTGTTCTGCTCAAGTGCTCAGCGCCCAAAGCCAGAATCTTTGTGGTGTTCACTTGCATGCTGGTGTGCACCTCCTTGCTGTGTTTACTGCAGCTGAAACTGTTCAGCCACAGAAAACAAAGCTTCTATTCTTTCGAGGTGCAAAACTCCAAAGGGAAGACAGTTTCCCTGGAAAAATACAGAGGAAAAGTAAGTTGCATCATTTCCTTGGAAGTTGTTTTGCAATGTTTTTTTCCTCCTCCAATAGACGTTGCTTTCCTACTAATCTTCACCCCCCCCCTCCACCCGACATGTGGAAGCAGTTCGTTTTTAAAATCGTAAAACGTCGCTAGTTTTTAAAATCGCGAACGTGTAAGCTTTTGTCTGCAATTTTGCAAGTGGGGGAAACAAATACGTGCAAAGCAAATGTAGTCACTCGATGGAATACCCTTCCTCTCGTTTGCATGTCTGGTCAGGTTACTATTTGCAGGATCCAAAGTTTAAAGGGAAATTGAATTGATTGCTATTTCTTGGAGAGAAAAAAACTGAAAGCGAAATGCATCAAACTTTTAACAGCTGCATTAACAGAGAGTGAGTGAGAGAGAGAGAGAGAGAGATACAGGAGTCACAGTGTTGACATGGCTATCAGTAGGGGTTGCCTTGGATGCTGTGTGAGTGCTTCTTGTGTTGCCCTCCTGCAGGCGTCTCTGGTTGTAAACGTGGCGAGTCAGTGTGAGCACACAGAGCTCTCATACCGCAGCCTACAGCAGTTGCAGAAGGAGCTGGGACCCATGCATTTCAATGTCTTGGCTTTCCCCTGCAACCAGTTTGGAGACTCGGAGCCCGGCAGTAACTACGACATCGAGAGCTTCGCCAAAGCCAACTACGGAGTCACCTTCCCCATCTTCAGTAAAATCAAAGTGTTAGGCAGTGAAGCCCACCCAGCCTTCAGATTCCTCGTAGGTGAGATGCTGCTCTCTCTAATCGTTTCATGTTGCCTTATTATTGTTTGTAATTTATAACGTTAATAATAATAATCCTTGCATTTGATATAGCGCCTAATCACGTCTTCGAGACATCTCAAAGCGCTTCACAGAATATACTGGAAAGTGAATCAACAGTATATTTTGTGGGCGAAACGCAGCCTCCATTGCGCACAGCAGTAACCCACAAACTGTCGTGGATTGAGTGACCAAAATATTCATTTAACAGTAACAACAACTTGCATTTACATAGCACCCTTCAGCGTCTCATAGCGCTCAAAAGTGGTGGAGCTCTGTGATGCCGAGCCGGGGAGAGAGGGGAGGCACAGTCAAAGAGGAAGGTCTTCAGATGCGATCTGAAGACGTGCAAGGGATTGAGGCAGAGAGTTCCTGAGGTTCCAGTGTAGCGCCTGAAACCACAGCCACTGGCAACGAAGGGCCTGAGGGACGTGTAAAAGGCTGGAGCCAGCTGACCAGGGGGTGAGTGGGGGTAGGGGAGGTGGGGGAGAAGTACTAGAGTGTGAGAGGCTGTAAGCAGGCCAGAAAGGTAGGAAGATATCAGGACATTAATTGATTTGTAAGTAAGTGCAAAGCTTTTTAAAATTGATCCATTCTCGATAGGGGGCCAGTGGGACATGGTAAGGACTGGATTGATGGGGATGCAGCATTTGGTATGGGGTTAACTTTTATTTATAGAATATTCCCTTCTCCTTCAAGTTTGCATCAGGTTTCCTCATAAATACATTGATGCTTTCTGCTTCAATCTCATCTTCTGGCAGTGGGTTCATCATTCTCTGCATAACAAAGTTCCTCCTAGCGTATTAATGTCCACCTTATTGAATCCTATAATTTGAATCCCCTCTTATTTGTCTCATCTCATTTCTAAACTCCAAACTGTCTCAATCGTTCTTGATAGGGGTATCCACTCATCCCTGGAAAATTCCTAGTAACTCAGTGGTTAAAGCACTCGCCTCGCAAACAAGTGGACTGGGTTTGATTCCTAGACAAGTTGAAACGTTGGGCAATTTTCCTTACTCCACACGCCTCTGTTTACCTAGCAGTAAGTAGGAACCCGGTTGTTAGTAGATTGGCGGATCGCTTTTCTGGGGGTAAAAATCACTTTTTAAGAAAAAAATAATATTTTGCTCACTCAATCCACGACTGTTGGGGGACACTGCTGTGCACATTTTGCTACCACGTTTTGCCCACAAAATATACAGTCAATTCACTTTACAGTATATTCTGTGAAGCATTTTGAGACATCTCGAAGACATGATAAGGCACTTATCACACCATCAGCAGTCGGGCCTTCAGCTTCTCCACCCCCAATCTTTGGAACTCCATCCCACATTCCCTTTGCCTTGCTCCCTTCAAAGCACGTCTCAAGACCTTCCTCTTTGATGATGCCTTCGCCCACCCTCCTACCCTCCCTGCCCTCCACCCTCCCTTACCCCCTCCCACACCCGCTCAGATCCAAATCCCTGACTGTCCAGCGCCTTGAGACATCCTTCTGATGTGAACGGTGCTACGCAAATGTAATTTTATATTGTATATCAAATGCAAGGATTATAATTCCAACGCCTTTGGACGTCCTCCTGACGTGAAAAGCGATACACAAAGGTAATTTGTTGTTGTTGGTAACTCTATGCTTTACTATCTCCAATGCTAGAATATCATTCCTGCAGACCAACAATTAGAAATGGACACAGTATTCCAAATATGGCTTAACCAAGGATTTAAGTAAATTACATTACTTCCAAGCAAGAAAATAATACACAGCTGAGTAACACTTCAGGTCCAACACAAATGCTGCACAAGTGTGTTTCCCAGCACCTAGGATGAAGTTGATGTTTAAAAAATACACTAATTATCGGAAACAGCCTGCACCATCCCATTTATAAAAGCAATCTTTGATGTTCACGGAACCAAATACCTATGTACCATGATTTATCGCACTATGATTGGCTTTATTTGGTCACTGACTTCCATGTGCTAGGAGCCACTATTGGCTCTAATCTGATTCAACCATGTCATGACCTGCTCTGCCTTCCCCCTCTCTGCAACATCACCCCGGCTCCACCACGGTCTCACACCTCAGAAAACTGAAATACTCATACACGCTTTCATTACATCGAGTCTTGACTATACAAACTCCTTACTTGTCGGCCTCCCCAACCTGTCCCTCCATAGGCTACAGATCATCCAGAATGCTGCAGCCCGTGTCCTCTCCCACACCAGGCTCTGTGAACCTATCAGCCACATCCTCACCCGATTCCACTGGCTTCCCATCACGCAGAGGATACAGTTCAAGATCCTGGTCCTTCAAAGCCTTCCATACTTGCTCCCCCCTACCTCTCCAACCTCCGAAACCTCTACCATCCTGCCCACTCCCTCCACTCAGCGGGCTCCAGCCTGCTTCACGTCCCCCACCTCACCTGCCCCACCATTAGCAGGCGGACCATCTGCCAATCTGTCCCCACCCTCTGGAACTCCATCCCGCAGTCCCTCCTCCTCACCCCCACCTTGCCTTTTTCAAGGCCCATCTCAAGAGGGTGCTCCCCACCCTCCCCAATCCCAACTCCCAGCTTGGGTCTAAAACTCTGACTGTCCAGCGCCTCGGGATGTGCTCCCAATGTGAAAGGTGCTATATAAATGTAATTTTGTTGTTGTTGACGGAAGTTATGATTAATGTCCAAGTGGCATTATAATGGTCAGTGTGAGAGACAGAGGTTCACAGAAAAATTTATATTTACAAATCCTGTTATGAATTGCTACATATTGGGATCATTGCATCTCAACAAGTTACTGAAATGGTTTGGTGCATTTCTTCTGCTTTACTTAACTTGTCTGATTTGCCAGAGGAAGGTATATTAAAAAAAAGTTAGTGTTTTTCAAACATGTTGTATAAACTCTGACAGATGAAATTGTAAACATAAAAAATTATCACTGCAACAAAATGCTAGAACTACCTTATTTTAAGTTACAGCACTAGCAGGTACATTTATTCAATTGTTTTCTGTTCAATTTTAGACTCTACAAACAAAGAACCCCGATGGAATTTTTGGAAGTATTTGGTTAACCCGGAAGGCCAGGTGATAAAAGTTTGGAAAACTGAAGAGCCCCTGGCAGCAATCAAGCAAGAAGTGTCAGCTTTAGTGGCAAAGATCATATTGAAAAAGAGAGAAGAACTCTGAAACACAACAGCAGTGACTGACAGCCTCCAGTCATCAACCATAATGTTCATACTTCATGTTACAGCTTAACTTGCCATTGAACTTCCAATAGATCTGAAACATCCAAAGAGATGGATCCATCTTTGAATATTTCCATCTAAAACTGTCTAATTTTAGAGACAGAGGCCAGCATTTTATACTAGTCCCAAGTTAACAACAACTTGCACTTATATAGCGTCCTTCATGCAGGGTTAGTGTCCCGGAGTGCGTCACAGTGGCCAAGTCTGATCCTGAGCCAGGGGGAAAGGGAGGGCATATGAGGGCACTGCACATATGATCACAAACCACAAAAGTTCTGGTCAGTGTAAGATGCATACCAGTGTAAAATGAGGTAGTACTCGCCTGAGGAGTCCTGTAGTGTATTGGTTAGCGCGCTCACCTCACAGCGAGAGAACCCAGGTTCATTTTCTGGGGTGGGGGCAAAACCTTAGGCAAGATTCCTTATGCCACACGCCTCTATTTACCTAGCAGTAAGTAGGAACTCGGTTGTCAGTCAATTGGCAGATCGCTTTCTGAGAGTAATAATCCCTCAAAAAGAAAATTTGAGTCACTCAATCCACATCTTATCTGTGGGATACTGCTGTGCCCAATTGGCTGCCACATTTTTTCCACAAAATACAGTCGAACCACTTCACAATATATTCTGTGAAGAGCTTTGAGACGTCTCAATGATGTGATAAGGCACTATATTAAATGCAAGGATTATATATTTTTACTATGCATCCACCTTAAAACTCTTTAACATCAGAAATAATTTTTGATATCCAGTGTATTTACAGTGAGATACATCAGGCGTAATTGAAAATGATCTGTACCTGTATTTCATACAATTTAATTATATGCTATTTATTTGAAGGAGTATCTGTGTAATTTAGCAGCAGATCAGATCTGGAAATAGGGTACTCCAAAAAGACGAATTCTGGAAACCATTGGGAAAACTTTTCAGAAGCACAAGTAATAGTGACAACATTACATTGCCAAATGTTTTATTGGGTATTTCTGTTTAAGTAGGTCCTAGTAAATCAACACACAAGGAATTTCATCGGATGATGTCCCTTTAATAACTAGCCATCTTACTCAATGGTAGTCCCTGAATCTGAATTAGATGAGTATTGCTTGTGTAAGAATCAAGTCTGTGTTTCAGCAATTTACTGATCCCAGGTTTGGGTTCACTTTAATACCACTACATTAACCTGTGTTAATCACTACTCCATTAACCTGCTAAACCATGTAGAAATAGAATTCTAGAGCACAGAAGAGGCCATTCAGCCTATCAAGCCTGCATCAGCTCACAGAACAAGGATTTCACTTCAATCCCATCACCTCACTTTATCCATACCTATGTCTTCATGTTTATATTTTCATCATCTGATTCATTCATACTAATATACTGTTATTTATTACCGATGAAATTAGTATTCTATTTGCTGTAAGTGGTCAGTGTTTTTTTAAAAAAAACATGCAACACAGTGAAATGTCAGAATACTCCAAATAGTGAGAGGCTCCTTATGCTTTGCAAGTGCTCCTATAGAAAATATTCAGCTTCAGACAAGCGTTGTTCATTAGATGGAGAATAGTTAATATACCAATTTGCAAAACACTTCGGATCGGCTGACACTAAATCACTTTGAAGACTGTTTACTACACCTCCTGTATCACTTCCCTTTTATACTGTGTTGCTCCTACAGGTTACAAATAGTGAACCAACATTGTCATTAAGTGACAACTATAGAGTAAACGTGCTGTATATTAAATCAAACAACAGTTGGCTAAGAGCGTGTTAAAAGGCTGAGCATTCCCAGAGTTCAAGTGACTGAACTGTTCACTGAACTGATAAACTGTTCAAGTGACACTGTTGTAGTCCCAAATGCCTTCAGGATCCCTTGCCTGTGGTTGTAAGAATAAAGTGGCTGTGCAATTCCAAGTATCATAGCAACATCAGAGCATCAAAGCTGTTTAAATAAGTCCAGCATCCTGTTACAGTATTAGCATATATGACAGTTGTCAATTGCCTTCTTGCTAAATAAATATTTCCTGTTGTCTGTGAAATTGCCCTTTGCAACCCTAACACTGGCTTCATGTTCTGCGGTCTTAATGCATCAAAAGTATTTCTTCAAACCCATTTTGCTCACAAAATACAGTCAATCCATTTTACAGTATATCCTGTGAAGCGCTTTGAGACATCAATGATGTGATAAAGCACTATATCAAATGCAAGAATTATTATCAAAAACTTTCTCAATCCCATTCAAAATCTTATACATCTCCATTAAGTCCCCTCTAGAGACATTTCAAGACTGAGGAGTCTTTTCAATGTTTGATTGATTGTAAGGCATAGAAACGGGCCATTTGGCCCAGTTAATCTTTACTTGTGTTTATAATCCCTCCACACAAGTCAAAATTGTCCCAACACAAGGGGATTCCTAAATCTAATTATTGAATAAATAGAAGTTGTGTTTGCAATAGAACCAGATTTTATAGCACATAGAGGCCCCAAAATCGCCATGCTTATAGCTTCAAGATTGTTTTAAAATCATGCATGTTTTTTGAAAATTATTAAATTCCATTGTAATTTTTAAGAATTGCAGATAAACTGCTGCTTTAGGATTGGATTTAAGAATTTTCCAAAATTCTGCACAATTTTAAAATGTTCAGATCATGTTCTCACACCTAAGATCCCGAGCAATGTATCCTCTGAACTATAAATAATGTAGCCTCTATCTATTATTTTAAATAAGCGCCTTGGGACGTCCTCCTGATGTGAAAGGCGCTTTATAAATGGAATCTTGTTGTTGTTGTTGTTGTAAATAACAACAACAACTTGGATTTATATAGTGCCTTTCACGGAGGGTAGTGTCTCAGAGCACTTGACAGTGGCGGAGTCTGACACTGAGCCAGGGGGAGGGTGAGGGGGTAGGTGACCGTAAGCACGATCAAAAAGGAAGGTCTTCAGGCAGGATTTGAAATTGGGGATGAAGGGAGGGGCCAAGGCAGAGGGATTGAGGGAAAGTGTTCCACACAGTTGAGATGCAATGCATTACACTTCATAATAATTGTTGCAGTACAAACAAATGTCATAAACCTTATATCACAAGGGAGGAAATTACACCCGGGCCTGTGATGACGTTACTTTAATGCATTTTAAGGCCTGTAGAATTGATAAATTCTTAAAAACTACATCAGGTCTTTGAAATCCGTTTTGAGAACTTGCTCAATTTTGCATAGTCTGTTAAGAATTTGCCAAATTTTGCACAGTCTGAAATGTTAAGACTGTAGTGTAAGTGTTGAGATTTCTTCCCCAGGGCTTCACTCTAATTCAGGGCAGTCAGAATTGCTGCAGTAGAGACCACCGATTGCAAAAGAAATTATACTTTTGCGTACAGTCCATTTACCTCAGGGCCTCCCACAATGTTTTAAAACCCTCCAAATTACATCTTTCAAAACAAGGGGTGAGGCACCCTGAGTCCTGTAATGGCTCAGACCCATGAATGTAACTCAGTGGGAATTTTCAAGCAAAATGCGAGGGGTTGGGGTAGAAGGCTTGATGTGTTCTTGCAGATAATTTGAGTCTGTGGTTGGTATGAAATCTAAAGTCTGTGCCTATATTTAGCAATTCATCCTCTTTAACCTTGTCATTTTCACAAAGTGCATCATTCCACCACCCACAGCGATAGTACATATGATAATGATCTTCAGCAAGATAATGTTCTTCTTGTTGCAATTTCCAAATTTTTTGAAGAGCTATACTATTCTCCTGGGGGAGGGCTGGGGGGGGGAGGTGTAAGCAGGGGTGTTTTTTGAGCTGAAGTGGCTCCAAAGTAAAATGTTTCAAAGGGAACATCAGAAAGGAATGCCATTTTAACTCAATACTTTGCTTTCAGATCACTCTTTGAAATAGCTTCAAAGTAATGATAGTATTCCATAATTCCATGGATTATGTATTCCAACCTCTGTGAGAGGGTTCAAAAATTGGTCACAGGACGACACACACTGCTGTTTAAGATAAATAGTTCTAATGGAATGTAAGTATTTTCTGTAGATACTACTGTTGGTTTCTTTATGAGCATAACCACCTGTTAGCAGACATTTCATTAAGGAGTCAAATATTTTATTTTTAAAAATGTCTATCCTTCTTGGTGGGGATGGTTATAAGCAGGGACTCTCTGAAAGTCTAATTAAAGTCTAACTGGCTGTGAGGCAAGCCTGAGAAAGAAAGTAGAGCTGATTTAATAACTTGTGGTGGACTCCATGCTGATACCTGAGTGAGGGAGAGCACTGTTGATAATTGATCAGCCTCTCTGGCTCATCAATAGAATTTGGACCAATACTCAATGTCACATAATTCCTTACATAGAACTTTACAGCACAGAAACAAGCCATTTGGCTCAAATAGTCTATGCCAATGTTTATACTCAACGTGAAACTCCTCTCCTAATCCTCTCACCCATAAGCCTCTGAACCCTTCCTCTCATATATGAATTAAGTTTCCTCTTAAATACGTTGATCGCTTTCTGCTATGGGAGTGCGCTGCAATGATGGACGTGGCGACTTTCGAATAAGACACAAAACCCAAGGCCTTGCCTGTCAATGTGGATTGATTAAGACTTGCATGTCATGAGAAACAGAAAGGAGTTGTACCCTCAGATAAAATCAGTCATTCACGTCATGGCTTTTTGGAGAAGGCTGCTAGATGCAAATCGGCTGCCACATTTTGCCTACAAAATGCACAGTCATTATTCATTCATTAGTATAAATCCCATGGAGCATTTGAATATATCATCCCAATGTAAAAGGGGCGGTATCAAACGCAAGCATCATTAGTATAGTAATTCCATCAAGGCACCTTGAGAAGTTTTGATATGGTAAGACTATAAAATAATTTATTTCTTTATGTTGTTGTGAAATCATGAGCTAATGTGGTAGTGCTTGTAGCTGCTGATTCCTACATTGCAGCCAGCTAACATTACACTGCCTAATCAACCCACACACTCCCAATCACCCTGCATTCACCATTCTCAATAAGGCCCCCTACAGAAGTGTTATTGTATCAAATCCTAATAGGATTTACTCTTTAGCTGAATACACTTCAGTGCCAGTCACAGGTAGAGCTTAAGGCACAAGGACTTTATACAGAAAATGGTGAATAAAGTTTTTATAATATAAAAAGTTGCCTTGAACTGTTGTAAAAACTAGTGTTTCTTATTGTTTGAGCATTCTTACTAATATACTGTGGTGGCCTTTCTATTTTTTAAAACTGAAGAAAATACTGACCAGTGATTGAAATTTAAAAATGCAGAACTCTCATTCAACATTCAAATCAGGATGTCTCTGGAGAATGACGGCTGAATGTCCATGTGTGGTAAGAGGGCAGCAGCAAGTTAACTGGTAACATAT